TTGATTCATGCCATAATTTTGATTTTGTTTGCTATAATTTTGACTTTTGGATCTCATTATGATTAACCAGAGCATGATTTTGTTTGTGGTGACCTTCTATTGGAAGGCAAAATTGAATGAATTGAACACTTGAATTCAATCAATGAAAATGAATCTTAGTTGTGTTGCTTCTCAAGTAAATTAAAGATAATTTTTCATAACATTTATAGGGAATACGCATATTTTCTTACAGCACAGGCAGATTTTTTTTTGCTTCTGCCACAGTGCAGTAAATGCGACTTGGAATCCATGACTACTTCACTTCTTAAAATGACTTCAACATTTTCTTAAAGTTGCAAGAGCTGCCACAAACTCCTGTATTTTATGGTGCAAGGAGTTGTGGGTAATTATAGCACATAAAGCATGCAGAGATGCACTTCTCCTTGAGGTCCACTGTGAACAGCTTTTTTTGCAGGTTCCTGTGTTTCGGGACGCTCTTGCATACTGTATTATACAGATAGAATGAGAATTTGGATGCGAAATCCAGTCCTAGATAAACTCTCAATACCTGAAAACATGAAAACCCATGATTTAGTTTACAGTTGAATGAATTCAAACTCCAGATTAATCCAGATTTGGTTTGTGGCTCACTCACTCTCTCACACACTCACTCTCACACACACACACACACACACACATTCCCTGGCATGATCCAAGCAGTGATGAAGTGTGTAAGTGTATTTTGGATTGAGAGGCGTGTCTGTGTAATCAGACTCCAATCTCTGAGTGTTCTTGGAATCTCGGTTCTGGTTCTGATAGATTACAGCTCACATCCTGATTACCAGCGGCTCCGAGACTCTTGTCCTCAAACGCCCCCAAGGCTTTTTCTTTGACTATAATGTTTGACTAAACAGTTCTACAAGTGAGCAAAATCAGTCAAAAACCTTCATTTCTAGTGGGATAAAAATGTGATAAAAAAAAGTTTTAATTTGAAAAATGTGACAATTTGTCTTTTATATTTTTATTCAAAATGAATCAATAAGAAAACAAACATCCACGGCAAAATAAAACAACATCGACACAAAAACATTCCATAATAACATTTAACATACCAAAAAAGATAATTTTTACCATACAAAATGTTTGTTTAATCTTACAACTTTAAACCGACAAATACATTTAATAATTAAATAAAGATACCTAACTAATTGATAAATAAAATTTACTTCAGAATTTATAGTTTAGTCTTAAAATTTTTTTTAGTGAAAAAAAAAATCACTTTTTCTCACTCATTTCTCTTGAAACATCTTCTTTACTCATGCAATTCGTTTTCGAATAGAATTGGATAAGTCATTAAAATGAGCTCTACAAGTGTATAGTGTATGTGTGTGTGTGTTTCAGGGCGCTGTGGGCACTAACATCACGATTAAGGTGTTGTGCAGTGTGATGCTGGACTCTTCTCTAGGCGGCCCGTACGATCGATACGCCGCAGTGGCTCGTCTGATGCAGAACACCTTCTCCCAGTCCTGCATTAACACCCAGTACAGCAGCTACGTCCAGGACATGAGCAACACCAGCTGGAGCGGCCCGGAGGCCGGAGGAGGTGTGTGTGTGTGTGTGTGTGACTGTCTTTGTCACACACTGTGTTTATATCTGTATGTGATGTTCCTCGCTTTTATATCTCATTTGTCCTTTCTCATGTTTCATGGGGTTTTCGTCTGTCTGAATGAGAACCAGTATTTTAATGTGTGAATTCAACCACTGAATCCCATGAAAATATGCTCAAGAAATGTACTTTTTTACTTAATTTGGTTTTTTTGGGGTTATTTAGTACTATTGCAATGCAGAGAAGGGTTTTCATATTTTAGGCTTTTTATTTGACACTTTTTTTTATTAACAATCTTGAATTTAAAAAATTGTTTTTGTAAGTAATAGGTTATAAAAAAGTATGAATGATGTCCCAAGAAATATATTTAGCATTAACAAAAAAAAATAAGGCCTTTATTTCTGTTTGTTTTGTGTTTATTTAATTCATTTATTGTTTTGTTATATTTCAGTTTTATTTTAATTGTTTGTTTTGTTTGTTTTGTCATATTATTGCCTGTTTTTTATATTGTTTTATTTCTTGTTTATTTTTATTTATTTATTATTATATTATATTTAATTATTTTTGTGGATAAAATATCCCCCAGGCATTAGAGACATCTTGCAATTGGTCAGAAATGTTGTATCGCTCTGTAAGTAACATGTTTAATATCTAAAATAATATTTAGGATAAACAAAAATAAGGCCTAATGAATGTTTTATTTTATTTGTTTTTGTATTTGTTGATTTTATTAATTTAGTTATTTGTTTGTTAGATTTCAGGTTTTTTTTTTTATTTAGTTATATTTAATTTTTTTTATTTGTATTTATTTATTTTATTAATTTATTTTGTTATATTTTTATTTATTTCTCATTTATTATTTATTTATTTATTTTTGTATTTAAATTGTTTTTTTTTTTGGAGGGGGGTGGGGGTGAAATATCACTCAGGCACTAGAAGACATTTTGCAATTATTCACAAATGTTGTATTATAGACCATTTTGCAAGATGTAAACAACACTGGTCCAGGAGCACTTCCTGTTTCAGTTTTTTTAACACTACATAAAAGCTGGGATAAAATGCAACCAACAGAACATTTAAAACTGAATCAAAAAGTTAAACGCACATCTTTAAGATGCTTTATTTACATGTGAAATAAAGAAAACAGTTACAAACTGAAACAGGAAGTGTTTCTGGACCAGCGTTGTTTACATCTTGTGAAATGGTCTAAAAATCATAAAAATTAAGCTGAATTTAGTTTGTGTGTTTAGGGCGGCAGTGGGTGTATCAGACCTGCACTGAATTTGGGTTTTATCAGAGCACCGATTCACCGAACCAGCCCTTCAGTGGATTTCCCTTACCGTGAGTGTGTGTAGCTGTGGTCTTGACATCGCATTGCAATCGCATCGATTGTTTAAAGGCATCAAACGGTCTTCTGTTGTGCAGGTATTTCCTGCAGCAGTGCGCTGATATATATAACCTGAGCACCTCGTTAGATGATGCTGTTCAGCAGACCAATGAGGAATACGGAGGATATGACATCAAAAGCACTCGCATCGTCTTCCCCAATGGTTCCATTGACCCCTGGCACGCTCTCGGAGTGACCCAGGACATCGCAAGTGACCTTCCGGCTGTCTTCATTAAAGGTCTGTCCCGTTTCCATTTACATTCATCTCTTTTTCCCGCTGAATCTCACCGGTGCCGCTCTCTCTCTCTCCCTCGTTCTCTCTCTATTTGGAAGACAAGGAAAAGCAGACTGTTATGGCGAAGGTCAATAAGCAGTGTGCATATGTTTTTAGGTTTGGTAGTTTCCCGGTTGAGGGCAGGGTGGAGTGTGCATGCTAGATTTTGATGGAATCTCTACCAAAGTTTAAAGAATTATGGGGAATAGATGAAATATTATGTACACTGTATGACAATGAATTGGTTTTGAGGTTGTTGTTTTTTTAAAAGACAGAAAATTTAATTTATGTATTTATTGGTGTATTTTCTTTTGCAAATCAGCTGTAAATCTTTTGTAATAATAGCAAGTCAATTGTAATAATAAAGGTGAACTTGATCTCTCTCTCTCTCTCAGGAACGGCTCATTGTGCAAACATGTACCCGCCCCGAGCAGAAGACCTTCCTCAGCTGGGTCTGGCACGGGACCGCATCTTCATCCTTCTCCAAAAGTGGCTGGCCGATTGATTGACAGCAACAGCGGCCAATCAGATGCTCAGGCGCGTGTGTAATGGCCAATCAGGTGCTTCTGCTGTCTAATGGTACTAAAGAGATTCTTGCTTTAGAAATCAGTTTTGGTACTGTTTTTATTACAATCAGTTTTTTAACAATCAGTTTACAACAATCAGTTTAGTTTGTAATATGTTTATGAAAGTGTGAACGAATGAATGTATTTTTTCTTGATGTAAATCACTTGTATATTTTGCAGCAAATGTTTCTCAATAAAGGAAGTTTTGTGATGTCGAAAACATGACTTGTGGTTGATTTCATGCTGTGTTGCAGACTGATTTGCTGTGTTTTTGGTAGAAAAAGTGTTGGAATGGGGAGGAGGTAAAAACACTAGTTAATATCAAACCTAAATAAATACTTGTAAAATGTAAAAATTATAAGAGGAAACAAGCTTCCTATAGGAATTGGCAATAGATACTATGGAAGCGAATACATTTAATTTTTTTCCCCTCACAATTTCGATTTTATATCTCATCTATCAATTTTGAAAATAAAAAAAGTCAGAATTACGAGTTATATAGTCAAAATTGCGAATTGCGATCATCGCCGTTTCAGCAAAAACATATTATGTAACGTTATACAACATAACATACATATATTAATTTGTCAATGTACTCCAATGCATTGTACTATAGCATCGTATGGTATTACCATGTCCAAAAAAACCTGTGGTAAAATAAACCATACTCATTTACCATGGTGTTTAAATACTATCATGGTAACTTAAACAAGTTACTTTATTTGTTGATTTTGTTTGGTGTGTTTTTGCTTGAAAAAGGGATTGGGGGTAATAGGAAGGAGATAAAAACTAGTTAATATCAAACCTAAATAAATACTTGTGTGTGTAAAACACTGTATCATAAAACTTATATAGTCCCTTCCGTTAGTCACTTCCGTTTGTTTGGTAAACCATTTGCGCAACAGTTGTGTCCTGAATGATGCTGATGTGTTACTGTTTTGTGAAAGCATATAATTAATCTCCGCACTAATTATCCTATTCTTCCGCGTTGATGTAATTTCCTGTTTACATCGAGGGGAATTTAATCAAAGTTTCGCTGAAGGGCTTTTTGTGTCTCTTCAAATTCTACAACAGCGACTGTTTGACTCATGAATATTAATTGGGTAACAGAACGTTCGACAGTCGTTGGTTGTGCGTGTTTACGTCAACCACACACGTCAGGGTTCCCTAATTAATATTCAGAATGTCGCAGTGTTCGTATGTATGAGAAGGCGGAGTTCGACGCTGAGGACCGAAAGAAATAAACGGAGGCGCTTAGCGAGCGCGAGGAGAAACACACGGACGCTCGCGGAAGACACGCGCTCTCTACCTGCGTATCTAACGAATAGACGTGCTTGTCCAGGTTAGTGAAGCATTTTTATATAAATATCGCATCTTCATACACAGTTTGTTTTACAGCCTACTTAAATCATGCATTAGTAGCCTAACAGCTGCTTTAATTCCTGGATGTTTGTTAGATGTTTTTTTTTTAATATAGGAAACTACAAACATACAGAGGCTTGTTATTTGGAGTTGTTGACTTTGAGTTGCAGACCCCCGCCCCTATTTGTGCCCAGACTGGGTTTTAAAGCCTATAATTAAACACACTTGCTGAAGCGGCTATAAAAAGTGTCCTGCGGTCGTCGTAAAATAACGCTTTACTTGTGCAATATACAGAAACCACCGTTCAAGACAAATACCTGACATTAAATAGATATCAGACAGACCAGGGGCCGGTTGCATTTAAAACATCTAAGACTAGGCTTGCCAGTTTTCTTTAAGACTATCCATAACTTTCATTAGTAAGTTAAAATATATCAAATGTAAATTGGTATAGTTTAGTAACTGATTACCCCTAACTAACCCAACTGCTCATCCAATTTGGCCCCTGATCAGATCAGTTAAACTGTTACAAGACCAAATCAGAATGTGGACTAACATCAGGACAAAAGTACAGTTGCTTAGACTAGTCTTACAAGTTAGTCGTCTGATTTTGTCCTTTAAAACTGGTGATTGGTTGGTTTACAATCTAAAATGTAAGACAGTGACCTGTTGGTTAACTGTTAGTTGGTCAAACTAGACTCTGTTTATGTACAGCAACATTAGATGTGTTTTTGCCAGACTAAGATTAATATTAGATGAGATGAGATACTGTTTTAACTAAATAAGTTATTTATTGAAGATCTATGAAGGATTGTGTGTTTAAAATGTTTTTTAATCCACAGTAAAACAGTTATAACATTTAAAATGATTGATAGTTGTACCGTAGACTCATAGTTGTGAAATGCACTAATAAATTGTTTATCACAACAGTCTGTTGGCAAAATATGTCAGTAGAGTTATGATGTAACGATGTAATATGAAGTCAATTTCAAGCAGTCACGTTCACATACTCACACTCACACACTCACTCAAGCTTACTCTCTCTCTCACTCACACACACACACACACTATCCTTAATCAAATAAATTCCTGAGCCGCAGGCCTGTGTGACGGGAAATAGAATAGCTCAGGAGTGTGTGTGCAGCACAGATCCAAGAGACCGGAGGATTGTGGAAAATTGTCTTGCTCGGAGCCGTCCGTCCTTTATTCAAGAAACGCTTATGCAAAAAAAAAAAAAACAGGTCTGTGTCCCGGAAAATCGTTCTGCTCTGGAGATTACTGATTAGATCGAGTGAAATCAGAGATCTCAGACAGAAGCTGGTATTTGAGTTGTGGTTTGTGTTTGTTGTAGTCCATCCGTCCGTCCGTCCGTCAACAAAAGTAAATATGCCATTCAGTTCCATCTTTCAAGCACATCTTTTGTTTGTAATCCATTAACAACTAATTGCAAATAGAATAAAAATATAGTTTTACTTCATCATCCCCCCGTCTCTCTCTCTCTCCTTCAGGTGTGTCCCTCACGATGTGTGTCTCCCTGCACCTGTGCGTGTTGCTGGCGGTGTGTTCTCTGAGTGTGTCTGCGTCCCCGTCTTACGGAGAACGAGGCTCTGATCTGGGCCTGCAGCTGTTCCTGCGTGTGGTCCAGGACAAACCCCTGGAGAACGTGGTCATGTCCCCTCACGGCGTGGCCTCTGTCCTGGGCATGCTGCTCCCGGGGGCCCACGGGGACACTCGCCGACAGATAGTCACCGGCCTCAAATACAAGAGGACGGTGTGTGTGTGTGTGTGTGTGTTTGCTCGGCTTTCATTTGCATTCCTTCAGCATTAAAGGGAAAGTTCAGTTTGAAATTAATATTTGATATGTTTTATCTTACCTCAAGGGCATCCAAGATGTAGGAGTCTTTGTTTCCACAGTATTTTCAATTTTGATATTTTTAGGTCAAACCGTTCTTGTCTGTCAGTCACATAATGGAGGTCTATGGTCACCACCTCAAAGAGCATGCGCAGCAGAGAAGTCCAAATTAAACATGATTTAATGACTTTTTAAATGTAAGTACACACTGATGGCCTAAGACATGAAACGAGCGGTTTGTGTGAGAAAACGAACAGTATTTATATCATTTTTACCTTTTGTAACCACAGCCACAAAGCGCCCGCGCCCTCTAGATCACTTGGACGTGGCTGTGGTTACAAGAGGTAAAAATATATAAATACCGTTCGTTTTCTCACACAAACCGCTCGTTTCGTGTCTTAGGCCATCAATGTGTACTTACATTTATGAGTCATTAAATCATGTTTAATTTGGACTTCTCTGTGCATGCTCTTTTAGGTGGTGACCATAGACCTCCATTATATGACTGACAGACAACAACGGTTTGACTGAAAAATATCAAAATTGAAAATACTGTGGAAACATCTTGGATGCTCTTGGGGGAAGCTAAAACATACCAAAAATTAATTTCAAAGTGAACTATCCATTTAAGAAACTGCAATCAGGATTTACTAAAGCTGTTAGAAATGAGGGATAAAAATGCATATGGATTTGCAGGAGTTTCCCTGTCAACACTACATTTATGGGAGGAGAGTATTTAAATGAATCATGCAACATGATTTGCTCTATTACTTAGCGCCCTAAAAAAGCTCGTCTTAACTGCTTTTTTTACATCAACATAACATTGAATGTGTGCATTATAGAGCTGCACTATTAATAGTAATCATTCATTAGCAGTTTCCCTCTCAAACAACTACGTTTATGGGAGGAGAGTATTTAAATAAATCATGCAACATGATTTATTAAGGTGTGCGCTTGTCAAATTACTGGTGTTGGCACCATTATTAACCGCTCTAAAAAAGAAAAAAGCTTGTCTAACCTGAATTTGCATCTGACACGAATTTGTGCAGTGTAGACCTGCATGATTTATCGTTAAAAGATAACGTTCTAGATTTAAACACCCACACGATCTTATTCCTAAATTACAAGGATTTGTCTATTAAACCTTTAACAAAATCATAACGGAACATTTACATCTGCGTTCTTATCGGAGAGAGCGGTTATGATATGTTGATATGAAACGGCTTCACAAAGAGTCTTTTCAACCACACAGTATTATTATCTCTGTCTTACAATCATTCAGATTATAGAAGTACTGAGAGAAAAGTTTATAGTTTGTACATAAACATTGATTTCTACGGTAGCGATCGAACAGAGTAAATCAGCTTTTGAAAGTAACGTGACGCTTCAAATAATAATTATATCATTACATCGTTACACCAGTAGGTGGAGAAGAGTGACTGTATTCGTCATTGAATCATTCATTCAAGAGATTTGTTCAGAAACGCTGATTCAAGTCTTGAGTGAGTCATTGAATCATTCATTCAAGAGATTTGTTCAGAAACGCTGATTCAAGTCTTGAGTGAGTCATTGAATCATTCATTCAAGAGATTCGTTCAAAAACACTGATTCAAGTCTTTTTGAGTGAGTCATTGAATCATTCATTCAAGAGATTCGTTCAAAAACGCTGATTCAAGTTTTTATGAGTGAGTCATTGATTCATTCATTCAAGAGATTCATTCAAAAACGCTGATTCAAGTCTTTTTGAGTGAGTCATTGAATCATTCATTCAAGAGATTCGTTCAAAAACGCTGATTCAAGTTTTTATGAGTGAGTCATTGAATAATCATTCATTCAAGAGATTCGTTCAAAAACGATGATTCAAGTCTTTATTCATTGAATCATTAATTTCAAACAAAATAAAAAAAATCATTCCAATTTATTAAACATTTTTTAAACAGACTGAATTAATTAATATCATTAGAATTGTGATCTCTGTTTGTAACCAAAAATCATGATTTTTGTGCTGCATTGTCATTAGATCGCCCGCACCAGTTTTCACTCCCATATGCGCTTCATTAGATTGTGGCTTCATGCTAATTTGAACAGTTTAGTAGTTCTGGCTCTTATTGTGTAATTCAGTGCCACAGATGCCCTTTTGGAGGCCTCAAAAAAGTAGCATGTGGAGTATCATAAATGTTCAATTGATTTTTGCCTGTTCAAAATGGGTGATTGAAAAAAGCCATTTCAACCCTGTAATTGAAATATAAATTCATTTCGTGTGTTTGTTTTGCTCTTAGGTCCATATAAGATGTTGCGGAAGTTGCATAAGGCCCTAACGACCAAATCCAACGCTGATATTGTGACGATCGCCAACGCGCTGTTCCCCAATGAGGGCTTCAGCATGAAAGAAGACTTCCTGACAGCCAACAGGGAGAACTTCCTGTGCCACAGTCAAACCATTAAGTACAGCGACCCAGAGAAGGCTGCAGAAACCATTAATGAATGGGTGAAGAACAGCACTAAAGGTACACCTCACATTGACCTCTGACCCCTGGATCTGACACCCTGACCTCTATCCTGGATTACTGAAAAAGGATTTTTCAATGCAACTTCTCTCGAAATGTGATATTTATCCCTAAATAAGGTCTAAGCCCTAAGATTAGAGCTTTTATTGTTCAATGTTAATATATATATATATATATATATATATATATATATATATATATAAAATATTATAAATAATGTATTAAATATATATATAATATTTTTTAATACATGTATATATATATTCATTAATAGGCTACAAAATGAGTTCCCATTAATTTTTTTCATTTGATACCCAAACTTTATTTATTTATTAATTAATTTTTATATTTTATTATTAACCTTAAGAATAACTCGTATAACAAAAATGACAAGGAAAATATTAGCTGAATTATTGAAAATTAATTGTTTATCAAAAACTGAAAACCACATTTTTTTCAAATAAAAAACTTTTTATTTATTTATATCAATCACACAAATCATTGTTTTAAACAAAATTTTTTGCAAAAATTTCAATTTTTAGACAAAATGAACATAAAATAGAAAACAGTTGATATAATATTTAGTTAATTAGACCTCATGATGTTGTCCGTTTTCAACCATTTGTTGAAAAATAACTTTCCCTGCCATATTTAGTACTTTATTTGTGTGCCCAATTAATTTGTAATATTCTGTTATACTATAACATGCCCTTTTTTTCGTCAGGTCATATTCCCAGTCTTGTCCAGGCGGATATGTTCGATCCGGTTCTGACTCGTTTGGTGGCTGTCAACTCCATTTACTTCAAAGGCTTGTGGAAGTCCCGTTTCCAAGCCCAGAACACCAAACCCAGAAGCTTTACTGCAGGAGACGGAAAGTCATACAAAGTGCCCATGATGTCCCAGCTCTCCGTCTTCAGCTTCGGTGAGATGCTGGGATTTTCTCACAGGTTGCATCAGCTATTAAACACACACACACACACACAGAAGTGAAATATTTTCCTGCCACATGATTCAATCCTTTGTCTGGCTACTTGTCGAACTCTTTTCCAGAGACGGCGATGCAATAAAAACGTGGCTCCTTTTTAAATATCTGGGAACACTGGAGGATAACCCAGGAGATGGGAATAAAATGGTGCAAAATGTGAATTAATTGAGTTTTAATGTAAAAGCCAAGACTGTCTGGCCATCAGCAGAAGGATTTAATCCATGAAAACACCAATAAACTTTTTACTAGCTTTGATATTAGCCCTTCACAAGCAGAATTAAGTGTTTTATAGACTGCACTTATAAAGTTCACCGAGGTGACTGGGATCTGATCCATACACCCATGTGTCAGGTTTTGTTTTTTTATATACCGAAATTTTGGTTCATAAGACTAATATTTTAAAGAGGCCATATTATACAAGTCTTGATTTTGTTTATGGGCTTTACAAGAACAGGTTTTCATGCTTGAATGTTAATAAAACACACATTATTTTCCCCATATTCTCCATTGTTGCATATGGAAGCTTGTTTCCGCCACCGAATAAAAAAGGTAATTGCGACTTTTTATCTCACAACTCTGACTTTTTTTCTCTTATTGTGTGATGAGTTTACATGTATAAAGATATAATGGATATAAAGTTGGAATTGTGTGATATAAAGTTGCAATGGCGATTTTCTCACAATATGATTATTCGATTTTCTGGGTATTTCACATCCGTACCAAGTATTTTGATGGTGTTTTGACAATTCAGAGCCGCCGAATGACGAATACGAAAAAGATTGGATTTAGTGTGCAAGGGCTTTAACACACAATTGTGACTTTTTATATCTCGCAATTCTGAGAAATAAAGTCCGAATTGTGAGCTGTTAAACTCACAATTGCGAGTCTTATCTCTTTTTTATCTTTTAAAATGTTTTATTCTGTGTTGGAAACAAGCTTTCATTGTTGCAGCTCCTCTCTTCCCAGTCTGTCAGTAACGCTCTGTATCTGTGAAGCCCCTCCTTCTGAAAAGCACACTGTGCTCTGATTGGTCGGCTGGATCAGTGCGTTGTGATTGGTTAAGTGTGTTTGGGAAATGTCCCACCCCATAACCACCAGTTTCAACACACTACTAACTAACTCAACAGGCTCCGCCCCTTTATCATCCATGTTAATTATTTAAATGAGGAATATTGTGACATGTTCGTTCCCGACTACAAGACTACAATGGAGGCGTTTCAGGGAGTTCAGAAACAGTGAAACTGATATAGAGAATAACTCTTTGCGGAGATTTTTCATGCTCAGACAACAACATCACACACTAAAGAAAGATGAACATGAAAAAAAGCATATTAGGTCCTCTTTAATAGTTGAGAAACCGAGTGTGCAGCTTAAAGCCTGACCCGTTTCTTTGTTCTTGTTTTCTCGGCAGGTCAAGCCAGCACTCCAGAAGGTTTGAAGTACACAGTGATCGAGCTGCCGTATCATGGTAATAGCATGAGCATGTTCATTGCGTTGCCGTCAGAAGAGGCCACGCCCCTGTCGGCCATCTTACCTCACATCTCCACGGCGACTGTCCAGAGCTGGACCAAACAGCTGGCCCCGAGGAGGATGCGTTTCCTGATGCCGAAGTGAGACACCCGTCGTTACCCTAATCCTTTAAAGGGGTGGTATAATGCCCTTTACATCTCTAATGTCCCCAGAGTGTGTAATATGTGAGGTTTTAGCTCAAAATACCCCACAGATATTTTTATATAGCATGTTAAAGTTTGAGGGTGAGGGTGAGCAAACATTTTTTGTGTTTTTACAGTGTCATAATTTTGACTTTTTCTCATATTTTTACAGTGTCATAATTTTCAAATTTTATCTCATATTTTTGACAATATATATCATAATTTTGACTTTTTATCTCAGATTTTTACAGTATATGTCATCATTTTTACTTTTTATCTCAGATTTTTACAGTGTCATAATTTTTTACTTTTATCTCATTTTTGATAGTATATGTCATAATTTTGACTTTTTATCTCACATTTTTACAGTATGTCATCATTTTGTCTTTTTATCTCATATTTTGACAGTATGTCATAATTTTGACTTTTATCTCACGTTTTTACAGTATGTCATCATTTTGACCTTTTATCTTACATTTTTACAGTATGTCATCATTTTGACTTTTTATCTCATATTTTTGACAGTATAATAATTTTGACTTTTTATCTCACATTTTTACAGTATGTCATCATTTTGACCTTTTATCTCACATTTTTACAGTATGTCATCATTTTGACCTTTTATCTCACATTTTTACAGTGTCATCATTTTGACTTTTTATCTCATATTTTGACAGTATGTCATAATTTTGACTTTTTATCTCACGTTTTTACAGTATGTCATCATTTTGACCTTTTATCTCACATTTTTACAGTATGTCATCATTTTGACTTTTTATCTCATATTTTTGACAGTATCATAATTTTGACTTTTTATCTCACATTTTTACACTGTCATAATTTTGACTTTCTCATATTTTTGACAGTATATGTCATCATTTTGACTTTCTCATATTTTTGACAGTAAATGTCATAATTTTGACTTTTTATCTCAGATTTTTATAGCATGTCATAATTTTGACCTTTTATGCTATAATATTGACTTTTCTTATAATTTTGACTTTGTGAATAATGACTTTTGTATCTTATTTTGTACTTTTTATGTCATTGTAACTTTTGGCTTTTTACCTCATGATTACGACTGTTTATTTATTTATTTATTTATTTTATTTCAATTACAGAAACGAATTAGTAGAATTTTTAGTTTTAGTTAACAAAATTAAAACTTAACATAATTTATTGTGGGTACATAACCCACAATACCAATACTAGTATGACCTGTAGTGAATCTGACAGTTTGTGAACTCATTATTTGCCAAGACAAGCACCACTAACAGCGTCTGTCTGTCTGTCTCCTCTTCTTCGAGCAGATTCACAGCCGAGGAAGAGCTGGATTTGGAGGCTCCTCTTACAGCGATGGGAATCAAAAACATCTTCAGTCAGAGCAAAGCTGATTTCAGACACCTGAGTGAGTGACAGCTGTCAGTTCATCAGTTCATCTTGTGTGCATACAGTATGTTTGTGCTTGAACTAATGATATCGTTGGTTGTTGACTGCGAACTTGAGCCGCATGAATCACGTCTCTCAGTGATGTGTGAAAATGAGTCACTATCCCAGCGCCAAACAGACCATCCTCCTCAAAGCCTTTGCTTTATTACCATCATTCATGCTTTGAAACCACACACTTTAACCTCAATTGCTGCCAGCAGTGAATTAAAGAAAAGCCAAAAGTCATAGTTCACCCAGAAAAGAAAAACACACGCACGTTATATTTTCAATGGAACACAAAAGGAGATTTTTTTTTCCCTCGTACAAAAACATGTCTGTCTAAAATGACCATAAAAGCTATTTTTGAAGCTTAACAGGCACTGTGAAATATCATTGTATGGACAATAGAAAGTCATACAGCTTTGGGACCATAGATGAGTAAATGATGACCGAATGTTCTTCTGACAGCATTGTGGGCCCTTTCTGTTCTTAAACCTTGATTTTTGGTGTTTAGAAAAGCTGAAGTATTTTAACGAGGGCAGAAATTCAGTGTTATGGAAGATCATTTGTGCCACATAAGAAAACATAAGTAATCCTTTGATAAATCTTAAACATAGTCATCATAAATAGTTGAAAAGTATGAGATGAGTCATTCATATGACATAGTTAAACTTTTTAACTATCTCATGACTTAATATCTCATAGTTATGACTTTTTATGTCATAAAATTGACTTTTTGACCTAAATTCTCTTTTATTCTCATAATTGTAATCCAGGGTATTTTTTATTTATTCGTCAAATTCAACTTTTTTTTACATCATAGTTATAACTTAGTATATTATAGTCACTATTTACATCAGAAGTGTTGGCTTTGTCATTATTATGAATTTTAATGTTTAATTTTCCATAATTTTCATTTTTTTAGTTCATAATTATGACCTAGTGTCTCATAGTTATGACTTTTTATCTCATAATGTCAACTTTTGTCATAATGTTTGGCTTTTATTATCATAATTATCCCTTAGTATCTTATTTCAACTTTTTGTCATAATTATGACTTTTATATCATAGTATTGACTTAAAGTAATATATCATAGTTACAACTTTTCCCCATAATTTTGACTTTTTGTCGTAATTATGGGCTTTTTATTATCATAATCATCACTTAGTATCTTATAATAACAACTTTTTGTCATAGTTATGGCTTTTGTCATAATTTTGGGCTTTTTGTATCATCATAATTATCACATAGTATCTTATAATAACACATTTTTTGTCATAATTATGGGTTTTTGTCATAATTGTGGCTTTTGTCATAATTTTGGGCTTTTTTATTATCATAATTATCACATAGTATCTTATAATAACAACTTTTTGTCATAATCTTGACTGTCAGAAAGTTTTGGCTTTTATTCTCATAATTACAGCTTTTGTGTCGTAATTTCTAAATTTTGTAATGACTTTTTACAACATAATTTTGACTTATTGTCATGGCTTTTATTCTCATAATTATCGCTTAGTGTTGGAAATGGACTTTCATACAATGTTTAAAGTATCAAGCTGGAAAATCTCAGAAATGACCAAGAGAATCTGTGGGAAAATGAGAGGAACATGTATGAATACACACTGAAGTACAGAGAAAAAGAGTATAAAAGAAGATGAATATGAAGTAGAAGGAAGAAGTTCCCGTCTGAAGGTGTTATGTTGCCCCAGTGTGGCCGTCTGATGAAATGACATGATGATGATGGTGGATGGATGGAGTTAGGATGCAGCAGTTCTGCTCTATAAGCTGAAAACAGATTATTTTGTATGATTACTAATAACTGATATAAATAACATGTATGAATGTTTCTTGCTGTGCAGCATCAAAAGATTTGATGATTAAGTCTTTATATTTGTGAATGTAACAGGTTCGGAGTTTGTTTACGTGTCCAAAGCCCTTCAGAAAGCCAAGATAGAGGTCAATGAGGATGGAACCAAAGCCTCTGCTGCCACAAGTAAGTCACATCAATGCTTTTAAAGTCAATCACCCTTCACCAATGGTCATGATTGAACGTGTTCTCTCTCATCTCAGCTGCAATCTTGCACGCCCGATCTTCTCCTCCATGGATAGCTGTGGACAGACCATTCCTGTTTCTTATCAGACATAATTCTACAGGTACACACACACACTCATATCTGTTTTAATAGTTATGAATGTGTAATATTAAAATGACTGTGGAATCTGATCCTGTTCCCCTCTCAGGAACCATCCTGTTTGCTGGCCAGATCAACAAACCTTGAACCCGGAGATCATAGGGGTTTCTTCCTGTATGTCTCATCAGTGATGCACACACACACACACAAACGCATGGTTTAACTTTTGTCCTTGACTGCGTGTTCTGTACCCAAGTGTCTTTTTACCCTAATTTTTACTTTGTCTTTGTATTGCATTTCTGTTTTCTTTATATTCTTGGGGAACATTTTATAAGATTTTATACATGGTTTTAAAATTTGTGTGTCTAATGCAAAAATTCTCACAAAATGTGTGCAACTTAAATGCTGAGATGACTTAAGTTTAACTGAGATCATTCATTTTTTGTTCTTAATCGTGTCAATGTATTTGCCATATTATTAATGCATTTTCCTTCTTCGAGTTATATTTTATTAAATAAGGTACTTAAACTGGTTCACTTTGTCTTTTCCTAATCTCAGACAACTTTTTACAACATTTGTACTTTATTTAATAAAGTACACTAAATACTTGTTTTGTCGCTTTTGTAGTTGTATTTATGTTTGATTTAACACTGATATACAATAGTTAGACAAGTTCACTATTAAACTATAGTCCATATCATGCATAATGGTAATTTAAAGTAAAATTGTTTATTAAAATAATAGTGCTAAAATTTTTCAGAACAAATACAAAATTAGTTTTGTTGTTCTTTTATTATAATATATTAAATGTATACTTTGTTATATTTATACAAATGTTAGCCTATATATATTCATAATTACATATAACTATCTAAAAATAATATGCATGTAAATAATATAATAATTCATGTAATGCTCAATGTAATATTTTAATCAATGTTGGGTGTAATTAATTACTTATTAATCTCAAATTAATGACTTCCCCCTTAATAAAGTAAAGTAACTGACTACTCTTAATTTTTCTGTAATTTAAAGGTGCTCTATGCATTTTTAGCGGCCTCTAGCGGTGATGTTTCAGAATGCAACCGAATGCAACAAGAGCGCTCGTGCTCGTCTGCGTGCTCGATCTCAAGAGCGAGCATTCACTACCGGCGGCCACACACAGCGAAAGCATCGCACAACATGCTGGAAACTATTTTTTCAAAGTGAACTACTCCTTTAAAAAGCGATTTCTTTAAAAGCAAATATCTTTGAGCATCCTTAAAAAAATCGTAATCAACCAACCACCCTTTAAATCACTAATAATTTTGGTAGGTGTGGCAGTGGCAACAAAAAAAAAGTGAATTTATTGAATTATTGTTATTTATTGTTAATTTAATTATTATTAAATTATTGTAGCCTACACAATGTTAAAATTATACAGCAAAGTTTGGAAGTAACAGATCTGTCAAATAGACGTTTAGAAATTGTGTTTAAGATGTTTATTTTTTAGAATATGTGTAAAACCGACATCTTATAGACATCTATAGTTAGTAAACAGCAGATGCTCTCCAGATAAAGTGATCTTCAACAGACATCTTGACGACGCGCGTCTGCTATCTATCTATCTGTGTTTGTGGGGTTTTTTTTCACGGGCGCGTTTTTACGGAGAGTTACGGTATCTCGCGCTGTTGTGGTTGAACTTCCTCAACGCTCAGCTGACTCGAGAGGAGGAATCATCATCACACACACAGAGGGAATCGAGGGGAAAACAGCGATGGCGGCGGAGATCCACTCGAGGCCTCAGAGCTTCAGACCCGTCCTGTTAAACAAGATCGAGGGCCACAGCGACACCGTGAACTCGGCCGTGCTGATCCCGAAGGAGGACGGGGTTATCACCGTCAGCGAGGACAGGTACTAACGTTACACGCGCCGGTGTGAACACGAATGTGACAACGCTGAAATCGACACTTGTCTCGTTTATCTTTTTATTTGTTTTAAAACATGCGTGATTATTCTCCTGAAAGAATATCTATCGCGAGACATGGTAATACCATGGTACATAGGATTACCACGTTTAGGCTAACTTCCATGATACATGTCCAAAACATCATGGCACTGACTGTGTTAGTGTTTTGAATGCACTTGAAGTTTACAAGCTAGATTGTTGCTTGAAAACTTCAGAATTGAAGATGAATTATGAATTACCATGGTAACGTTAGTCATAGAGGATATGTGTACAGTTATTGTTACTACAGTGTGTGTGTGTTTGCCACAACTGTCATAATGTGACCACAAATCAAAACTAGAAGCTTCTCACAGTGTTTGAAGATCGTGTGTTCATTTATTTCGATTTTACACTAACAATAATTGGAAGCTTTTCTGCAACATTAGAAAAAATGCTTTTGTAAATCATAATTATGACGTAAAAAGTAGAACAAGTCATATTTCTGAGATGAAAAGTTGAAAATATAAGTCGGAAAATTATCTCATATATATGACTTGGTAGACTTGGTATGTGTCTTTTGGACTTAGGCTATCAAGTATGACGATTACAGGCCAATAAGTTTTATGAATTAGTACTGTGGATCATTGTAGTTATTGTGGTAGCTTGACGATATGAATTTAAAATGACTGATTTACTGACAGCTTCTTACACTTTAAAGAACATCCCTTATTATTATTATCATCTTAACAAAAGGTGGTTACCATGGTAATTTGGACCCGTTTTACTAACATAGATATTGTTCTCCATTTAAATTTATTTTTGGATAAAATTATTTGTGTTTTTATGAGGAAAACCCACTGGAAGGGAGAGTTCACTGACTCAAAAATGAAAATGATCCCATAATTCACTCTCCCTCAAGCCATCTTATGACTCTCTTCTTTCAGCCAAACACGATCAGAGTTATATAAAAAAGGTTTATAATGGGAGTGAATGGTAACTTGGATATTAAAGCCCATAAAAACATCCATCATAAAAGTTATACTTACGGATCCAGGGGCTTCATAAAGACCTTCTGAAGCGAATCGGTGCGTTTTTGGAAAAAAAATATCCATATTTACAACTTTATTAACTATAATCATTGGCTTGCGATAACGGCCAAACGTGGGTCGAGATCCGGCCGAAGAGTGATGAAAATATGACCAAGAAAAGTTACATTTTTGGGTGAACTAACTCTTTAAACCAGCCTAAGGTGTTTAGCTGGTCTTTGAGCATTGTCTGGAAGTGTTACTGGGGTTTTGGATATTTTGTCAGCCTAACAGTTCAGAAAAGCACCTTTGGTTTAAGAAATTTCGAATAAGTTCCTCTCTTGCTTTGTTTCTGCAAGGGAAATCATATCTGATGTCTTCATGCATTTCAACATACTCGTCTTAATGTTTCAAAACAATGACATCCTTTTAAAATGGGATTGAAACATGTTTTTAAATGCTAAACAGAGAAACAACTGCCATTGACAGCATGTGTTTCCAGATGCCCATTAAGGGAAGCTTAAAGATGATCAATTCGCTAGAAAACAGCTCAGAGAAGCACATCTAGGAGGAGATCAGTTTGAATCATTTATATAGTTGTGAATGAACATGCTTTGCTCCTATGGAGTTTTTCCATCTCTGAATATATTTGACATTTGATTGATTCTGGCTCGACAGGACGGTGTTAGTGTAGTCGGAGAGACGTGTGTGTTCATGTCCTGATTACCTGCATTATTCACCGTGTGAGAGCAGGTGCACAAACAAACATATGAAACGCTTGAGGTTTTAGCAGGAACTGAAAGTAAACCAACAGAGTTCTGCTGCTCTGGAGAGACGTGTGTGTGTTTCTGTGCATGACCATCACGCTTCAGCTGGTTATTTTTACTTATTTAAAATTTAAAAAAAAAATATTTTATTTACATTATTATATTATTTATTTCTGTCAATATAACCATGATTAATCAAATCTAACATATATATATATATATTATGTTAGATTTGATTAATCGTGGTTATTTTGACAGCTGTAATGTTATATAATATAATATAACATAATATAATATAATAAATCCCAAAGAACATCAGAGGGTTAATCATGATGAATTGCATTTTTTTTTTAAATATATGTATATATAAAAATACATGTATACATTATATTGTGTGTGTGTGTATATATATATATACACACATGCATACATGTACACGTATATTCTCGATTTTTTTGGTTAGAAACAATTCATCACGATTAATCAATTTGACCTCACATATATTAATTATAACATATATTTTATATATATATATATACACACACACACACGCATTTATGTTACATTTTTATGTTAGATGCAATTACTGGTGATTAATCGATTTGAAAGTTGTATATATATATATATATATATATAGCCTACATTTGAGGCTTTTTATATACTTATAAGTATATAAAATATATTTATATACTTATTTTAAAAATTAAAATAAGTACATTTAATATAAATTATATAAAAATTGTAAAAATTAATATATATATATATATATAATGTGACTTTCTTTTCATGTTCCAAACAAATAATTCATATTAATTATTAAATAATGAATTATATGGTATTTCAAGTCTTTTTTGAAAGTCTTGTTGTTTATGTTTTATTTCAGGACGATTCGAGTGTGGCTGAAGCGGGACAGTGGACAGTACTGGCCCAGCATCTACCACACGGTGTCCTGTGAGTATCACTTCAACCAAGAATGAAAATCCTGCCATCATTTCTTACTCGTAATATGTTCCTAACAGTGGAGTGTGTTTAGCGTAATGTTCTTTACAATGAAAGTGAAAGGAATCTCAAAAATGCTAAGAGCAGGCTTGACGTGACTGACACTTTGAGCATGAACACGTTATTAACACACAGTCTCCTGTTGTCTCACACACTGTACATTCACCAGTGTCACCAGTAAGTGGATGAAGGTTTAATGTGCCATTGCTCTTTTTGTTTGAGTTGATTGACATGTCAGGATCAAACTGGATCTGTGTTTGAGAAAAAGTAGGATTGTTGGAGATTTTTTTTCATACTTTTATAGTATTTATTAGTATTTTTGATTAGCTTTATTCTTCTTTATTTTTTATTATTCTCTTTCTGTCCAGCCCCGTGTTCCTGTATGTCATATCACCATGAGAGCAAGCGGATCTTCATAGGGCAGGACAATGGGGCCGTTGTGGTAAGTGTCACTGTATCATGAGTGCAGACTCATTTTCAGTTATGAGTTATCAGTTATGTTTCTTGAATTGGAATGTGTGCAAATGATTGTGGGCTATTGAAGGATATCCTTCAAAATGAGCCGAATAAAGGACGCGAAATGAAGGCCGTCGAGATATGCAGCCGAATCTCTTTAGATGCCTGTAGTGAGGGCAACTATACACATCTCTGAATTAAAGGGATAGTTCACCCAAAAGCAATCTCATTCCCAACCTGTATGGTTTTCTGCGGAGAACAGATTAAAGGAGTAGTTCACTTTTGAAAAAACTTTTGCTGATAATTTACTAACCCCCATGTCATCCAAGATGTCCATGTCTTTTTTTCTTCATTCGAAAAGAAATTAAGGTTTTTGATGAAAACATTCCAGGATTTTCTCCATATAATGGACTTCAATGGGAACCAAACGGTTTAAGGTTCAAATGAGAGTTTCAGTGCAGCTTCAAAGGGCTTTAAACAATTCCAGACGATGAATAAGGGTCTTATCAAGCGAAACGATCGCTCATTTAATAAATAAATAACAAAGTTTAAGTTTTATAAGCTCAAACGCTCACCTTGCTCTGTTCTGTGATGCGCGTTCGTGACTCTCCTGTTCGAACTCGTTCATCAAAATGAATGAATCTTTTTTCGTGTCATTTGGTTCATTCAACGAAGAAAATGAACGAATTGACTAGGGAAAAACTCGCGAATTTGATTTGCTTTTTTAATGGTTGTTTGATGAATGGAATTTATTTGTAATATAAATCTTTTGTGACATTATGAATGTCTTTACTGTTAATTTAGATCAATTCAATGCATCCTTGTTGAATAAAAGTATGAATTACTTTCTAAAAAAATTAAAAATCGTACTGCCTCCTAATGTTTGAACTGTAGTTTATATAGGGACTGTGGACAAAAATCAGAAGGCTTGAAATATATGCATAAATGATGCTTTCTTTGTCCTGATTTGCATCTTGAGTGTCCCGATCACTGTAAGGAAAAGAGCTCTTATTTTGTGTCACAAAAAGGTGAAAGTCATCTGGGTTTGTATCCACATGAGGGCGAGTAAGAGGATAAACTAAGCCATCTAGTAATTCTGTAATCGTCTTTCTGTCTCTCACAGGAGTTCCTCATCTCAGAAGATTTCAACAAAATGAACCATGTAAAAACATACCCAGGTAAACCCAGAGACGTATGTGTTATTTCCATTAGTGTCCGAACATACTTTAGATGACGGGTTGGAGCACTAAACTGTGTTTGTATGACACGACACACACACTTTCCTTTGGCCCACCCAATCACTCGAGGATCATTTGTTATTTTCCCAGCATGCCCTGGGGCTAAGACTCCCATGTGAGCGTTCACTAGACACTAGACACTCACACACAAGATGATTATGGCTGGATGAGTCAGAGCTGCTCTGGAAAATGTGTCTGGAGAAAACCGGACAATGCCAGGAAAGTGTGAGAGACGGTATTCCGGCTTATAACGGTCAAATATTTTAGTTGATTTAATTTGAACGAATTAGCTGGTATTGAGATCTGCATTATTTTCCTTTCTGATCAGATACAGTTACACTGTTAGTTGCCCTGCCAGCACACACAGTGACATCATCAGATGATGACATCGCCTCACAAACATCTCAACACACAATACTCTCCAATCTCAAAAGTGTATCTCCCAAAAATACGTCTTCCAGATGAAAACAAACACATCAAATAGAGTCTCTGTGATATAGAGTATGAACTTTATAAGAACATTTTGTCATTCAGAATCGGAATGTTGTGAGATGGAAGGTTCCAACATTCCACTCTTAGTTTTTTCGGTTAATTTATAGTGCATCATTTGAGTATTAAAAGTTCTATTTGGAATTTTCAGTGTGAACACCCTACTCACACTATTTACACTACAGAACGGCATAGAATAGTGCACACGTATGCAAAATTTGGACGCACATACCTTTTGAACCTTGATTTTCACCAAGTGTGTGTGTGTGTGTGCGCAGCCCATCAGAACCGTGTGTCGGACCTCATCTTCTCTCTGGAGAGTCAGTGGGTGATCAGTACGGGTCATGATAAAAGCATCAGCTGGATGAGCACTCAGAGCGGCTCTATGCTGGGACGCCACAGCTTCGGCTCATGGGCTTCCTGTTTACAGTATCCTTGACTTAGTCTCTCCCTGAGAAATATTTCTTATGCATTTTTTACATCTTATGGATGCAATTTCTCTGGATCGCAGTGGTTTCTGTAGGGGGAGTGTGTGCAGTGTTGGAGGTAACTCTAATACAGTTTTGTATATTAATAATAAATGTATTATTTATTATATTGTTCATTTAAAATGTGTATGCACTTTGGTTAGTATTTCTGTCCAGTTTGGGGTCTGTAAGATTTTTTTTATGTTTTTGAAACCTCTTTTGATCGAAAATATTTGTAAAATTTAAATTTTTAAATTAAAAAAAAAATGTAACTGTTTTCTATTTGAATATATGTTCAAATGTAATCTATTCCTGTGCTCAAAACTGAATTTGCAGCATCATTACTTCAGTCTTCAGTGTCACATGATCCTTCAGAAATCATTCTAATATGATGATTTGATTCTCAAGAAACATTTCTGTTCATTATTATCAATGTTGAAAACAGTTGTGCTGCTTTATATTTTTGTGGAAACAGTAGTTATGCTCATGCATATCTAGTTTACAAGTCCCTGAATATCCTTCAAAGACATTTTGATTAAATAGATTTAGGGATGCACCGAGATGAAAATTGATAACCGATACATCTTTGTATCTAAAAAAACCGATAACCGATATTTTGACCGATAAATCTGAATTCACTTTTTTAATGTAATTTTTCAAAGCCTGATTACAAAACAAAAGTCTCCATTAAAAGCCATGTCCCAAGCACACAATAATAATGTTCTCATTATAATTTTATGTAGCCGATGTGACAGACTTGTGCTGTTGCACTTCACTGTATTTTCCTTTTTAGAAGTGATTCTGATCATGTTTCAAGCAATTCAAGGTCATCATTTTGAACAGTGCACATCTGAAGTGTCTCAGTTGAAAGAAATAATACATTATATTTTTAGCTTTAATATTTCGGCCAAATTTTCTTATTGGGCCGATACATTATACCGATATGGTGTCCGATATATATCGTGTATCACTAAATAGATTCATTACAAATTTGAATGGATTGGCAAATGATTTAGTGTCTTAAACTGGTTTAAATGTGATTTTTGTTATTAGGATTATTTCCTCTCTTCTGTCTTGTTTTTCTTGACTACATATGCAGATATGATAACGATACCCAGCATGCCTTTGTGGGAGATCATTCAGGGCAGATCACGCTACTGAAACTGGAAGAACAGTCGTGTTCTATCATTACTACACTAAAGGGACATGAAGGTAACACACCTACAAATACATGTTTGTATATATATATATATATATATATATGGCCACACCAAAGGTTATTTCTATAGCACTTTTCAAAGTCTATAATACCTTAAGGATCAATATACTCAGGGAGAATGTCTTTTTCGTTCTTTGCGAAGGGGTACAAAGAAATTTTAAAGATGTAACCAGCGGTTTATTGTTGAACATCCCGACACCGAGAGCGATGTTTAGATGAATATGTAAAAGTGAAGAGCTAAAAGGGAAATTTAGTCAGATTTAGCTCACTTATGAGGAGAGTTTTGTCTCCGAACTATTATAGCTTGCTTATCTCAGTGTCTTTGTAACTGGTTGATTTCATACCTGAGCCTTTCCTTTAACACTCTTCCACCTGTCTGTCTGTCCGTAGGTAGTGTTGCTGTGTTATATTGGGATCCAGTTCAGAGGTGGCTGTTTTCCGGAGCATCTGATCACAGTGTGATCATGTGGGACATTGGTGGCAGACAGGGACGCACATTGCTGCTGCAGGGACACCAGTGAGACACACACACACACTCTCCATAGACATAATGGTTTTTATAATGTACAAACTGTATATAATCTACCCCTAAACCTACCCATCATAGAAAACTTTCTTAATTAATTTTTTTTAGTATGTTCTTAAAGCCATTTGGTTAACAATGACACAGGAAAGGTCCCATAAACCATGTTTATGCTGTCATTCTACACATATGTATCCTTATAAATCATATATACAAGAACCACACACACATGCACACACTGCTATAGTGCTACTAGGCTGTGAATTGCATAAGAAACCAAATTTGAGAACTATTGAGAAATGTAAGTATTTCTCTATTTTCAGTTCCATTTCTTTAAAAGAAAATATTGAAACTTAATGATTTTCATGACTTTCAGTTACATTAACTATCTTTGAGCAGGTGCGTTCTTCTAAACATGTGGTCTAAATGTAGTGGTGTAAGAGAGAACACAGATTCCTTTGCACAAAATAAATCACTTTAGGGATAATTTTATTACCTGTACATTTAATATAAGTCAGCAAATTAACATGAAAGATTGATTTGAGATTGTTTGAAGAAACAACCGCATTACAAAAGTTTTAGTTTTTTTGAAAGAATTTTTTTTTTTTTTTTTTTTTTAACTTGATCAAAAGTGACATTAAATACATTAATAATGTTACAAAATATTTATTTTTTAAATTCAGGACTTTCTATTTATCAAAGACTCCTGAAAAGAAAGTATCACGGTTTCCACAAAAAACATTGATGATAATCAGAAATGTTTCTTGAGCATCAAATCATCATATTAGACTGATTTATGAATGATCATGTGACACTGAAGACTGGAGTAATGATGCTGGAAATACAGCTTTGATCACTGGAATAATTTATGTATTAACATATATTACAATTGGAAACAGTGTCTTGAAATTGTAATAATATTTCACTGTTTTTACTGTAATGTGATCAAATAAATGCAGCCTTGGTGAGCAGAAGAGACTTTTAACATCTAATCCGACCCCTAACATTTGAACGTGAGTGTAACAGGAATAAGCAGTTGTAAGGTCGAGTCAGTCATTCGGTGTCTGTCTGTGTCTCAGTGAGAAGGTCCAGGCGTTGAGGTATCTGCGCTTGACCCATCAGTTGGTGTCTTGCTCTGCTGACGGAGGAATGACAGTGTGGAACATGGACACAACTCGAGAAGAGGTACTTATACAGTAGTTGACATGATAAATGGACGTATATGTCACTATTTCATGTTTTAGCATGGCTGGAACGCTGTATTGACCAATTAGCATCCTGGATGGGAACTCCTGTATCTGTTTTATTAATATACACTGCCTGGACAAAATTAAAAAGTCTATGATTGGATCATTATTGCATTGATTGTTATGTTTCCAGCATGGTATATGTTTGGCAGTTCCTCTAACATTTATTGATGAAGTGTGTAGCTTTTCATTTCTTTCATCAGGATCAAATTGTGAAACACGATCTTGACTAAAAATTGATGCATCTCATGATTGAAATAACATCTCTACATGTATTTCCATCACAAGGAAGTGCATCAATCTTTGATCAAGATCTTGTATTGTCAATGCGAGAGTCCAGCACTCTGTAAAGTCTCCTCCAGCACATCCCAAACACTTTCAATGAGTTTAAGATCTGGACTCAGACTGCCATAACCAATCGCTAACGTTTGGTTGTGACGTATGGCGACTCAAACTAGCGCACGACATAAACGTCATCGTTATCAGACACTCCCTGTGTTCACTGATTGGACCGGTGAAAACCAAAGAATAAAGCACAATCCCAGACGTAGAACTGGAGGAAAATAAAAATTGAGTGGAAGTACGTAGGAAGGCGGAGCCAGGTGCAAGCTCAATCCAACACTGAACACAAACACCTATATCAGAACATATTCTTGAATGAATCCATGGCCAAACGTCTATTCATGAAGCAGTGACGTCATTTCTGGGTGTCGTCATGGCAACCCCTGCGTCAGTCATTAAAGTCACATCCATCTCTATGGTAACCTGAAAGCGGCTCATACTCAAAATGTCATCTCTCTCTCTCTCTCTCTCTCTGTGTAACTCACTGTTTTCAGGCTCCACAGTGGCTGGAGAGTGATTCCTGTCAGAAATGTGAACAGCCGTTTTTTTGGAATATAAAGCAGATGTGGGACACTAAGACCCTGGGGCTCCGACAGGTACCACCGCTATCTCAAATCTTTTGCTTTTAAAGGGATAGTTCACCGAATGAAAAATTAATAATGAAAATTAGCCCATGGTTTACTCACCCTCAAGTTATCCTCGGTGTCTTCTTCAGATGAATACAAAAGAAGTTTGTTGTGAATTGCCATTTCTGTTTTAAAGTCCATAAAAGTGCATCTATCCATCACAACCTAGAAGTTTACTTTTTTACATGTTAAATATTTTTAATATTTCAGAAGGCCATATTAACAGTGGAGCTGTGCATAGTTCCTTTGATGGATAGATAAACTTTTATAGATGCACTTTTATGATGGATTGATGCACTTATGGTGGATTAGATTCACTGTTATGATGGATATATGCACTGTTAAGATGGATTAGATGCACTGTTATGATGGATATATGGACTTATGATGGATAGATGCACTTTTATTATATATAGATGCACTGTTATGATCGATAGATGCACTTTTTGATGGATAGATGCACTTTTATGATGGATAGTGCACTTATGATGGGTTAGATGCACTGTTATGATGGATAGATGCACTTTTATGATGGATAGATGCACTTATGATGGATTAGATGCACTGTTATAATGGATAGATGGACTTTTTTGATGGATAGATTCACTTTTTGATGGATATATGCACTGTTATGATGGATAGTGCACTTATGATGGATTAGATGCACTGTTAAGATGGATAGATGCACTTTTATGATGGATAGATGCACTTATGATGGATTAGATGCACTGTTATGATGGATAGATGGACTTTTTGATGGATAGATGCACTTTTATAATGGATAGATGCACTTATGATGGATTAGATACACTGTTATGATGGATAGATTCACGGTTATGATGGATAGATTCACTGTTATGATGGATAGATGGACTTTTTTGATGGACAGATGCACTTTTATGATGGATAGATGCAGTTTTTTGATGGATAGATGCACTTTTTTGATGTATAGATGCACTTTTATGATGGATAGATGCACTTTTATGATGGATAGATGCACTGTTATTATATAGATGCACTTATGATGGATAGATGCACTTTTATGATGGATGTATGCACTGTTATGATGGATAGATGGACTTTTTTGATGGATAGATGCACTTTTATAATGGATAGATGCACTGTTATGATGAATTGATGCACTTTTATGATGGATAGATGCACTGTTATATATAGATGCACCTATGATGGATAGATGCACTGTTATGATGTATAGATGCACTTTTATGACGTATAGATGCACTTTTTGTGTGCCTATCCCTTTAAGCCTGTTATTCATCTGCACTTTCAAAGCTGTGTTAATGCAGCGTCTCAGTGCTTCACAATGTAATGCCCGTGTCATATCCTGTCCTCAGCATCACTGCAGGAAGTGTGGCAAGGCCATTTGTGGGAAGTGTAGTTCTAAACGCTCCACGTACCCCGTCATGGGCTTTGAGTTCCAGGTGCGCATGTGTGACGACTGCTACGACACGATAAAAGAGGAAGAGTGAGTCGTTTTATTTTAAGTTTGTCTTCTTTCTGTTCTCTTTGCTCTTCTGTTTGGTTCTTATTCTTGTGTATTTACATTTGCGCATTGCAGTCGGACTCCTCTGGCTACGTTTCATGAAGGGAAACACAACATCGCTCACATGGACATGGACCCGAGCCGAGGACTGATGGTCACATGTGGGACTGATCGAGTTGTTAAGGTCATACACTCATCTTTCATTCTAGTGTTTTAGTGACTATGCGTGAAGGAGCATACTGTGATACAGTTTATTTCTACCAATGCCATATCTATAATAATACAGTTTTTAAATATGCATAGACTTTCCAGATGACTTGCTACATAATATAATATATAGAATACAACCAGATCACACTGCATGGAACATCATATTCCACAATGCAATGCACCCAACTTTTCATTTTTCACTGAGACAAATTAAATAAAAAATATTAGCCAGGATTTGATATATATATAATTATTGAATGAATCAGTGTTTTTGAATGAATCTCTTGAATGAATTATTCATTGGCAAATACATTCAATGACAATTAACATGATATAATCATTATTTAAAGAATCAAGATACTTTCTGAACATGATTTACACTATTTTGATCGCTACCCTATTCTATTTCTATATATATATATATATATATATACACACACACACAAAATTGATTAATCATTATTAATCGCATCTAACATAAGTTTATTAATGTGTGTGCATATATATGTAAATATCAGCACAAACTAAAATAATATAATGAAATGTCCTAAAATAATTGAATGAAATTTAATGACGATTAGAAATGTTGCTTTGGCAACTAACTGAAATAACTGTTTAAATTGAAGTACTACACAAAAGTACCACACAAAATGTCTTAAACTAAACCGAACATATAAAAAATAGCTAATTCAAAATATTAATAAATACTATAATTGTATATAAATAATACTAAAATAACACTGCTAGTATATTATAGAATTTGTTCATAATTCCATTTGTTCGCGTTATGTGTGAATGGTTTTACGTCCAATTTACTCAAATTTGTTACGATTGTAGTCTTCTCCTGCCCTCTGATTGGTCCTCCCTGCTAATCGTTTGATTGGTCTGTCCACAGATCTGGGACATGACGCAGGTGGTGGGCAGCAGTGTAGCGGCGGGATTCTCTGCCCGCTGATTGGCTGTTTCTGAAGGCTCCGTCCACACTCCAACAACTGATATCTGTCGAGGATCATGGAAACACTCACCTACCTGTCTAACTCTCTCGTCCTTCAGCTGTGGAGTCTACGCAAAACGGACTGTTCAATACGGTGTATGTCAGTATGTGTGTGTTATTGGGATGGTCCTTGATTTTCTGAATCAGAGGCATTCATGACTCCTATGAGGTATGATGGCCTGGATTTGAGCGAACATGAACTCAAGGTACTTCTAAAAGCACAATATTTGCTCTCTCTCTCTCTCTCTCTCTCTCTCTCTCTCTGTGTCCCTCTATGCATAAGTACCATACTAAAAAACAGGAAGCATTTTTTTCATCTAACATCCTGTTTATTTATCCATCTGTCTTGTTTATCTTTCTTTCACTTTTTGAATTTAAGTGCCACTACTGGCTCTAGTAACCAGCACTTGCATACATTCTCATACAAACTTACTAGAACATACAAAAAAAGTGTCACCATAAACCCACCAAAGCTCAAACTCAGAGACAGACGGGTTCAGGTCAGGTAGGTGAGGATAATTAAATGTAGCATATAAAATCCATGAAACATTTTATGACTAAACACATTAAGTTAGTACACAATGTTTGTAGAGTTCCTCTGTTAAACACTATTTATAGCACTAGTCATCGTTTTCTCTGTGGTTTGGGGACAAATTAAAGTGATGGTTAACTCATAAATGAAAATCTGTCAACATTTATTCACTTTCTTCTGTGGAACAGAAAATAAGACGTGACGTTTAATGTTGATGCTGTTCTTTAGATACAATAGAAGTGAATGAGAACTTGGGCTCCAAAATTGTAAAACGAGTCCATACGGCGTGTGTACTATATAACAACTCTTCTGAAGCCTAATGATAGCTTCCAAAACCAAAAATGAACAATAAAACGAGTCTTTACGACCTATGCGGAGTATTAAGTGCGCTATATTACCAAAAAGTGTACTTGTTTTTCTTCATAGTAGTGGTTACAATCTCATTTGCGTATTTTAAGTTGCCATTTTGCTTTTGCGTACATACAGAGGCCCTAATCCTAATGGGACATGGTGATGGGAAAAATTAGATGTAAAAAAAAAAAAAAGTCAATACATTTTCATTCCCTCAGAGTTTTTCGATGGAAAGCAAACATTTTGTTAGAGAAAAACAAAAATATTGACATACAATTTTTCCTCCTCTCATATTTTTTATTATTACCGGGCTCTGTAGTAATGAGACAACCAGTGGTATTATTCGCGCAAATACATATGCAAATGAGATCTGAGAGAGATATTTTTAACATGTCAGTCCCTGATACAAAGCTACTTGGGTTGGAAAAAAAACATTTTTTTGTGTGTTCCACTGAAGTAAGAAAATAATACGGATTTGAAACGGCGTGAGTAAATGATGGCATAATTGTAATTTTTGGGTGCACTATTTCTTTAAGTATTGGGCTTCAGACTCGCGCTGTGCCACCGGAAGCAGCTTCTAGAAGATTTAGAGTTACATACAGCTCTCTAATGTAACACTGGCCAATGCGAAGATAGAATTATAACCTGTTTACAAACATTAAAACTGACCAGCGCTGTGTTTGGCTTACTTTCGATACTTGACTCGTCGCGTCTGGAGTTTCCCTCTCAGTCGTTATCTAGGTCGTTCATTGTCTTGACGAGTTCTCTGTTCCTTGCACTGAATTACACAGTCTGTGTGCGTTCATGATCTGAGGGTACAAACGGTGTTTGTGCGAGAGTTTGCATTAAATGACTGATTTGTGCCTTTGTAATGCGCTTGCTTCACACCGCTCGTTTTGAGTTGGCCTACGTCACATCCCGCGCTTTGTAAATAATCTCATTTACATTCACACACTTATTTTCCTAATATTTGCTTCGTTTAAATCAAAGTTGATACAGAATGACGAGACAGAAAGTAGATTTTGTGTGATATTTTTGTCATTTAATTGGATACTGCGACGATTGTAATTTCTCATCTCATCTTTCATTTCCGTTTAATATTGTTCTTAAAGGGACAGTTCACCTAAAAATTAAATGTCTATCATCACTTACTCACCCTCAAGTTGTTCCAAAACTATTTGAATTTCTTACTTCTGCTGAACACAAAAGAAGATATTTTGAAGAATGTTGGTAACTGGACAGTTGTTGAGTCCCATTTACTTCCATAGTATTTTTTTTCTATAGACATCAGCTGGTTAACTAACCAAATTCTTCAAAGTTTGGAACAACTTGAGGGTGAGTAGGCTAAAAGATGACAGAAATGATATTTTTTTGGGTGAATCTCTTTAACAGATTTTACTGAAAATGACACTTCAGAGTCACACCGTTTTGCAGAGATCACAGTTCAGTTTAACCATCATGTAAAGTTGAAAAACTTGTGTTCTTTATCTTCAGACATTGAAATCACTGTAAATTTCATCACGCTTCTAATGCTCGAACTCTAAAACTGTAAATAACTCTAAATGACTTTGAGACCTGTTTTTCTATGTTCTTTTTTCTAAGACTTGCTTTACTTCAGTAGTACTTAAGTATTATTCTCTCTATGTGTACAAAGTTGAGCTTCTGTGCTGGAACGCTCAAACATCTGTATTTTTCATACGAAAATCTCTTGCCGCTAAAATGAATACTGACACAATTCCTGATGCTGACTGGTAGTTTCTGCCCAGAGATTGAACGAAATATTACAATAAAGTTCTAAGCTGTATCTCACATGCAAGGTATAGTTTTTCCAAGTCATTTGAATTGCATGCATTGTTTATTTTTTATTTGTACGTTTCTTGGGTGAATCCTCCTGAACTCCTAAAAGTGATGGAAAAGACATGAAAAAAATAATATGCATTTGCTTTGATTTCCCACATACACCGTCACACCTTCAGAGATATTTATTAATATTGGTTGAAAACGTGTGAAATTACAGTCATGTCATAATTAAATGGTTATTAACACAGCCTATATATGTAGGAATGTAATCATACATTATTGTCAGAACAAATAAACAAAAAAAACTACACACCACTTCCTCGTTCTCTGGAACATCAGGTGACACACTCAAACCAAAGAAACGTCCAATCAAAGGCCCCCAAAAGCAGGAAATGTCCTTTCCCACACTTTCCTGTGCTTCACCACATGATTGGCCGTGAGTGAGTGATTGACAGCTGGGGTGACTCCGGTCAGAGCGGGTTCCCACCCGATTGACCTGATTCGTTGGAGTCACCGACAGTCACACAGTGAGAGTGAGAACGCACTGCGATTGGCTGAGATTGATCACATGGTTTCAGAACAAGCTGTCGAAAAAGAACGAATCCTGCGTCTGCCGTGACCAATGATAGGAGAGAATTGAAATGTACAAGGAAGCAGAACAGGAAGAAACAGGAAGTAGTCACTGTGGTAAAAGACTTAAACGTATTTAAGCATTTATTGAGCATAACAGTCTTTCAGAGCTCAGGAGGACATTTTAATCTACAGCTAAAAGTTATGGTGAGTACATTCACACTACTTTTACGAGTGAGAATAATGTGTCTAAACAGTTAACGATGTTAGTGTCCTACATTTATTTGTGTTGCAGTCGTTAAATGCGAGTGTATTTAGTGAGGCTGGAAGCCCTTGGCCAGATCCTCCATGACGCTCATGAATTTCTGATCTTCCAGCTGTGAACTGTGTGTCCAGGCCAAGGGAAGATGAGCCGAGACCATCTGCCGATCTAATGCATGTAAAAACACACACAAACATATAAAGATGTTTAAAACATGCAGTCTGGACTGGAGAAAAGACTCCTACTGGCTGAAGAGTTGTTAAATGATGATAATCCTCTCTGAAAATGCCATCCCGAAGCAAGATCCACCTACCGAGGAAGTCGTCATTACCATGGAAATGCCAAAGAAGTGAGTATTTGCAGAAGCTACAGTCGCTAGGTAACTTTATATTACCATGTACCATAAATAAATTACATACGAATTCAGAAATATAGTGGTGCGCCGATCTGGTTTTGCATAGGTTCATTCGTATTGGTCCATCAAACCTAAATATAGATTCTCTACATCAGTGTCAGTGTTTCTGAAACGCCTCCATTGTAGTCTGGAGTTGCTTCCGGGAACGAACACATCACAATATTCCTCATTTAAATAATTCATTCGCAGAATAAAAGGGGCGGGGCCTGATTGAGCTAGCCCCCGTCCACACTACTGCGTTTTCATTTAAAAACAGAGAATTAAAACGAATACGATCTCCGTCCACTCCAGCGTTTTATCTGCATATTAGAATTGATCTCCGTCCACGTTAAAACGACTGAAAACGCGGATCACGTGACCATTCACCAACACTGGGCATGCGCGTGACGATGTAAACGGTGGCTGACGAATCAGGAAAGGATACGTAATAACTGATGACACCCAATCATAGAGCCGAGCGTCATCGTTTCTAAAGTCCTCCATTTTGTCCCGTCTTCACTAAAACGCCCTCTGGAGATTCAAAACGCAAAACGGAGCTGCAGCATTTCTAAACTTCTCCATTTTAGGTCTTCGTTTTTTTTCCGTTTTAATCTGGACGGGACAGGCAAACATAACAAAAGGTCACCGTTTTTTAAACGAAAACGCAGTAGTGTGGACAGGCCTTGGATAGTAGTGTGTTGAAATTCGAGGTAAGGGGCGGGACATTTCCCAAACACACTCGAAGCGCTTGACCAATCACAACACACTGATCCAGCCGACCAATCAGAGCACAGTGTGCTTTCAGAAGGAGGGGCTTCATAGAAACAGGAACTAAACGGAGCGTTACTGACAGACTGTGAAGAGAGGAGCTGCAACAATGGAGAATATGAGAAAATAATGAACATTCGAGCATGAAAAGAAAACCTATTCTAGTAGAGCCCAAAAATAAAATCAAAACTATATGAAAAGGCCTCTAATTTGGACCCAATCAGCTGTCTTGTATTAAAAGACTAAGGATGTGTCTGAAATCTCCCACTACTTACTATATAGTGGACTATATAGTGAGCTCGCCATTTTGTAGTGCTGTCCGAATTTATAGTGATGATTATTATACCCTATATAGTCCACTCAATGTATCCCAGAATGCATTCTGAAAAGTAGTGTCACTAACCCAAGCCCTACCATCATGCATTGCGCTGATCGTAAAAATGGCGGACGGACGACAAGGGGAGCAGCGCGACAATACAAATTTGTCATACGAATGTAAGTTATGTTCTGTTTTCCATTTTGTCAGACATGTATTAATTGTTTGTAAGCACGCACGTGTTTAAATAGTGCGACAGCAATGACGTAATCAACGGCGCCGAGAGACGATCGAGTAGTGTCCGAAAGTGGTGTTTCTATTATGCTGGTGAGCTCACTATATAGTGCTCTACGAGTAGTGGTTTAAGTGGAGATTTCGGACACAGCCTTAGTAGTGCTGGAGTAACACGGTCTCTGTTGTGGTCTGTTTGGTTTCCCTGTTTCCAAAGGTCATGAGGTCGTCTTGAGTCACGCCGGTCGTGTCTGGTACAGAAGCTCTGCCCACTACAGCTGTGCTGGAGATCCGCCAACTCGCTTTTCCTTTCTTCATCTCTCTTCCTCCCTCCTTTTATCCTCATTCTCTCATTCACTTTCATTGTCCAGTCTTCCTTTGTATTCTCTTCGTCTTCTCTGTACCACTCCTGCTTTTCTTGCTTTCATAGACGTCTTTCATCCATTCTTTGTCTCCTGAAAGACTCGCTTGTTTTATATTGAAACAGATGGATGCCTTATTGGAGGAGACGGAGAGACCTCGGTTTCACCGTACACTGGCCGCAATGTTGTGTGCAACATTGTGTGTTGTGTATGTTTAGCACAAATACAGCAATACTCAAATAAGTATAAAGATGCACAAAATGCACAAATATTGAGTAAAATGTTTATAATTACACAGAACTTATTTTTTTTTTCAGTTCTGGTGAAAACTATGGTGTTACTATAGTAATTTCTATAAATTGTGCATTATTGCATGCAACTAAACCAAACCTAATTGTAAACCTATATAGTAAGTACATGTAGTGTGCATAATTTTATAATTACGGTGTGTGTGTGTTTCCTCACCCTGAAAAAAACTCCCGCTGGCACTCTTGACGGCCGCCTCGGACACAGCGAGCCACACGACCGTATCGGCCCCTTGCTCCGGTGTCCGCAAACGCTCCTTCATAGAGCTGTGGAAATCAGGCATCGCGTTCGCTATGGCTAAAAAACAAGAGGCGAGAACAAATCCTTTAGACGTCTTCAAATCAGTCTGAATAAGTACATATTTGCAGTTGTGCATTTAGCAGGAGCTTTTATCCAAAGCCTCTCGGAAGGTATACAACATTGTAAATCTATTAGTTTTTTGTTTAACATCCAGCTTTCAGGATAAAATGTATGTTATTAAAACGAATGTGTGATGGAAACTGCATGCATTTATTTTGAAGAAATGCTCTATATTTATATAGAAAATGCTCTAGATGTTTCATGACTGAACTGCTGAATTATGCAACTTCCGTTTCATGCCAACTTTAAACAAAAAAATATTCCACGTAGTCTCTGGAAACTGCGTCTGTAATCATACATGCACATTTCCGTCATTTAAATTTATGATGATTGTGCGTTTGCGATTACTTGGCGTGTCGACCCATCCGGGGTGCATTACGGAGAAGTGGATGTTGGGATGAGCTTTAGCAAATTGCTCCGTCATCACCACCTGCTGCCTCTGAAACACAACCAATGAGGAAAACACGTCTGAAAGAGTCACTCGAGTAGAGCTACTAAATCAGAGAAACTGAAAGGTCATGGATAATTTTACACCACCGACATAACCTTTTTTTTAAAAATACTTTAATTTCACAAGATGTGATATACGTTTCTGATGTCCCCAGAATGTGTCTGGCTCAAAAAATCCCACAGATCATTAATTATAGCTTTGCCCGTATTTGGGTGTAAGCAAAAACAGCATTTTTTGTGTGTGTGTCCCTTTAAATGCAAATGAGCCGCTGCTCCCCGCCCCCTTTCCAAAAAAGGGCGGAGCCTTTACAGCTCATGCTTCTGATGGAGAGTTTTCGAATTTATTAGTTTATGATTTTTATGAGTGGGTGGATTTTTCCCATTACAGACTGCTTATTAGCACACATCCGTGTTCAAACACCTTATAAAAGTGAATTTTGCATAATAGGTCCCCTATAAATGAGTTCAATAATCAAACAATGAGCTCACTAACATAAAAGATGGCATCACAACAAATGGTGCTTCTGTGTATGGATGGACACAAGCTTTACTTTTGACTATGTATGTGTATGTATATACCTTGTTCTGTGCGTACACCATAGTGCCGTCATATCTGCCCCTCTGAGACTGCAGGTTTCCGGTTCGCAGTTTCTGCACCAGCATCCCACCGGATGAGACTGTTATCTGGAGGAGAGGAGAGAGATGGTGACCCGTCTGACCCCTGTCTCCCGCTCGCAGTCTCTGGTTTACTCACCACTCTGGGGTCAGGGCTCTTCTCCAGCAGAGGAATGAGGCTTTTGATGAGGATGTACACGGCTGAACAACACAACACAACACAGGGATCAGGTGAAAACAGTCGGGTAAGCTGTTAGACGTATTATAAAGGAACGATCCTTTACCTAGAGAGTTGCTGGCGAAGCTTTTCTCCAAATCCTCTCCGTTCACCTCCCTCTTAGTCATCATACAGCCGGCGTTATTGATCTGTCACAATCAAATCAATCAACCAATCAAATGCTGGTTATGTTTTTTCAAAATATTATATTTACACTACCATTCAAAAGTTTGGTTGGTATGCAGTGTAAAATATTATTACAATTATCTATTTGAATATATTTTAAAATCAAAGCTTAATTACTCACACGATCCTCGTCAAATGATGATTTGATGCTCAAGAAACATTTCTGATTATTATCAATGTTGAAAACTGTCGTGCTGCTTCATATTTTTGTGGAAACTATGATTTTACAGGATTCTTTGGTGAATATAAAGAATTTATTTGAAATAGAAATATTTTGCAATGTCTTTACTGTCACTTTTGATCAATTATTTCAGTCGTTTTTCAAGCAATTCAAAACCACGAAAAGTCTCAGCTGAAGGAAATAATACATTATTTATCAGCTTTAATAAATCGGACAAATTATGTAATTGGGCGGATAAAGATAACATTAAAAACGAACATATATTGGCCGATACTGATATGGTGGCCGATATATCGTTCATCCCTATATCTGAATAAAAGAAAAATGCCTGACCCCAAACTTTTGGCCCTACATGCGGTGGTAAAAGCAGGGAGATGTGAGATTGCCTCACCAGGACGTTGAGAGTTTTGTATTTTTTCTTAAAGGACTCCGCAAACTCCCACACCTTTTTGGTCTCGGTCAGATCCAAAAGATGCACATAGATTTCCTGCAACCACACACGGATGCCAAAAGTAATGCATTTTCATATAAACATCTCGCATTACAAACAGATAGAGATGTAAATCTGTTTCCAGACAGCGTGTAGATAAATAAGAGGGTCATTTTAATGATTCACTGAGTTTGAGCACAAATGTTAAATTGTTTATTTACACACTATTGCATTATTCTTCATTATGCAGATGCTTTCTTATTTTTACTGCAGGTTAAGTCCTCCTGACCTGCAGTTAAGTTACTTGCTCTCGTTGGTGAAAGCTTCTAGGTTTTGATTCTACAGCCTTCTGTGTCCTTTAAAGGAGTAGTTCACTTTAAAAAAAACTTTTGCTGATAATTTACTCACCCCCATGTCATCCAAGATGTCCATGTCCTTCTTTCTTCAGTCGAAAAGAAATGAAGGTTTTTGATGAAAACATTCCAATATAATGGATTTCAATGGGGTCCAAACGGTTCAAGGTCCAAATGAGAGTTTCAGTGCAGCTTCAAAGGGCTTTAAACGATTTCAGACGATGAATTGGGGTCTTATCTAGCGAAACGATCGCTCATAAAAAAAAAAAAAAAATGTTTATGGTTTATAAGCACAAATGCTCGCCTGGCTCTGTTCTGTGAGCGAACGAAATGAACTAAATGACTCAAAAAGATTTGTTCATTTTCGAACAGAAGAGTCACGATGGCGCATCACAGAACAGAGCAAGGCGAGCATTTGTGCTCATAAAACGTAACCTTTTTTATTATTTTTTTAATGAGCAATCGTTTCGCTTGTCATCGTCTGGTATCATTTAAAGCCCTTTGGAGTTTGCACTGAAACTCTCATTTGGACCTTGAACCGTTTGGACCCCATTGAAGTCCATTATATGGAGAAAATCCTGGAATGTTTTCATCAAAAACCTTCATTTCTTTTCGACTGAAGAAAGAAAGACGTGGACATCTTGGATGACATGGGGGTGAGTAAATTATCAGCAAAAGTTTTTTTTAAAAGTGAACTACTCCTTTAATTCCTAAATCACAGCCTAAAAACCCCAGTCATTCAAATACAAACTCATACTTTGTTTCCAGACTCTTTGACAATCTCCGCTCTGGCTTCTTCTGCCTTGTCCTTGTTCCTGCAGACCATGTGGATTGTACCACCTTAAAGAAAAAGATGCTCAATAGGTTACACTCCGAGTCCGGCCTCTAAAAAAGTCACTAAAACTGTTTTTCCCAACACGCACCTTTCTTGGCGATGGCCATGGCGGTTGCTTTCCCGATTCCACTGTTCGCTCCAGTGATCATGAAGGATCGGCCTGCCATCGACACCTCCAGGTCTTTCTCAACAAAGTTCTTAGATGCCGACAGAAACGCCCCCCTGAGACACACATTTAATTAGTCTCGAAATGTGACAGGGTTACCAGTAGCTACACCCTCAGAAACTAACTAATTAGTTCATGCTTTGAACTATTTGACAACACACTTTTTTTTTAAAGGGGACCTGTTATGGCATTTTACAAAGTCTTGATTTCATTTTTGGGCTCTGCTAGAATAGGTTTTCTTGTTTAAAGTTCAAAAACACATTATTTTCCCCATATTCTCCATTGTTGCGGCTCCTCCCTTCCCAGTCTGTCAGTGAAGCCCCTCCTTCTGACAATCACAATGTGCTCTGATTGGTCGGCTGGAGGACCAGTGTGTTATGATTGGTCAAACGTTTTAGGCGTGTTTGTGAAAAGCCACGCCCCTTGAATCCAACACGTGACCAACAAGTGACTTAAACTTAATTTTTAGATAGTTCTCATCATGCTTGCGTATGTTTGGTTTTAGTTCGTTATGTTATATTTATGTTAGTTTGTTATTTATGTTGTTATATTTATTTTAGTTTATGTTATATTGCTGCGTTCACGCCTTGTCATAATTACTACCCTATCTCACGACCAATTCGTACGAGTGATTAAAAAGTGGCTAATTCGTATGACCTCACTCGTACGAATTCATTCGATTTGTCTAAACCCACGTGATGGTTAGGTTTAGGGGCGGGGTCAGGGGTAGGTCATTCGTACGAATTCATACGAATTGGCCAATTCGTAAAATATGTACGATTTACCAAAATCGTACTAATTTGTACGAGTGAGGTCGTATGAATTGTTTCGAATTAGCCACCTCGTAAAATTCGTACGAATTCCCGTGAGATCGGGTTGCATAATTACCATAGTTTTGAGATGACAACACATGACTTTTTTTTATTTCGCGTTTCTACAGGCAACAATACCAATGCCTAAATTAATCTGCAGGGGTCAGGTGGCGCTAGTAGGCGCTCAAGTTATAATCCCAAGCTCTAATTACAATTATTATCTAATTAAGTTTTAATTATCAAGACCAAGATGTGAACGAGTTGAAATCTTGTAATGATGGTTATTACAACATGCCGTGAACGCACCTAAACTTCAACTCGGGCCCGTAATCGCAAACAATGACAACACCATTTTTAGGAAATTTTGGCTTTATTTTTCTACAGTAGGAAGTGGAGACACATCATCCATCTTTTTTATAAAGTCTATGGTTTCAACACACTACTAACTAACTCAACTAGGCCCCACCCCTTTTATTTTGCATATCTTGTGGGCGGGAATTATTTAAATGAGCAATATTTTGATGTGTTCATTCCTGGAAGTAGCTCAAGATTACAATGGAGGCGTTTCAGGGAGTTCAGAAACACTGACACTGATATAGAGAATAACTCCCGCTGGAGGAACATTGTAACTTTGTTATTATGCTCAAACAGCAACATTACACACTACAGAAAGATAAACATGTAAAAAGGCATAATAGGACCCCTTTAGGGAGAAGCACATGGCAATGGGAGAGCAATCTTACAGCAGAGCTTCTCAACCGTCTGTGGTGAGTTCGAATTAATTTTGTACAATGTAAAAATTGAGGTTCTGTATTTGTTTGCATCATAACGTCCTGGAGCGAAGCCAGTTGAGAAGCATTAGGCAGTGTCCTTATGTGCCCCCTTGCGTCATGGCTTAGCTAATGAGAGCTAGTATCTGTGCGTCCTCTGATAGCACCGCTCCTGGTATCAGCATCTCAAAGACTAGCTTTGTCCAGGCGTGCCAGGCCAGAAGAGGGATGAAGAGGAGCGAGGAGGTGGCGGGGGCAAACAAGCTTTTCTCCGTAAATGCGTGCACTGTTAAGGGTGCTGTGTCCCATTATGGGGCGTGAGAGGTCGACCCGGGTAACAATGTATCAGGAGGAAAAAACAGATGCAGAGGCCATTGAAAGACTATAAACTATAATCATTTGTGAAATTAGATTTCATGTAAAACAAAAAGCCACATGTGTCTATGTGTTGACCTTGAACTTGCAGAAATTGTTGTAAGCATGCACCATATTTTTTTTATAAAATGTATATAAAAATTAAAAATTTATATAAAATTAACATTTATTAAAGCTAATGTTTTAATTACAGCATTTACCTTATTTAACGTGGGAGTCAAAGTCTAAGTAAGCCTGCAGACAAAATGCTTTTTATCTTAAATGTTGAAATATTTAGTTTTGTAGGTTTCTGACCTTAAATTTTAAATTAAATTCATCAAAATATTTGGAAATGGTGTTTGTTATACTTGGTTTGTACATATAATCTTTAATCAAACTCATACTAATGAGGACAGATGTATAAATACAGAATTCATAATAAAAATTGATATTAATTATGTAAAATTAAATTTGATATGAGCTTTTTAAAAATGTATAATCATTTATTCATTATATTATATTATATTTATTATATTATATTATATTATATTATATTATATTATATTATATTATATTATATTATATTATATTATATTATATTATTAGATGTGCTTCCATGAAGCATTATGTTGATTAGTGTTGTTATAAAGTGTTATTGAAGCAGTGCAGCTCTTACTTGGTGAATTCGGTGAGTCCTTTGAGGAACCATGCTGAGTTCCGGTACAGAGACATTCTCACGCCCGCGCTGTCGCTCAGGTCTCCCGCTGTGCGCGTGGAGGCTCCCGGTGCTTTTAACCGGCCCCGGGGTCACATGAGTGCACGTAGAGCCCCACGCCACGCCACTCACTCACCAGGGCTCCACACGGCCTGCCCTCTACCGGTGATGAACGACACAACACGCTTCAGACTGTCATACGGTTAAAAGAAATTCGTCTGTGCTTGCTGTAGTGGACACGGTACCTGCCTGAATGAATAGCCAAGCATTAAATAACCGTATTTTTAATGAGAATATCACAATATTATTAATAATAGCCGTACGATTTAAATTAAAGATCGTTTATAGCCTAAATAATAATTGTATTTAGGCTATATGAAAAAAAAAAAAAAAATACTGCAATCACCGGCGTTTTAAAGCGCTTTCAGGCCTTTGCGCATGCGCTTAAATAAACTACGAGACCATTTCCAACCATTTCAGCTAATTTACCATTGACGTCTAATTTTCACCGTTATAACTGTTATTACGGCACATATTTCCATGTCTTCATAAATATTGCATAAATTTAGGTAGGCCTAAACTGTCTCGCCTAGGCTATATTTTAAATGACCACGTTATAGACGTCCGAAATTGAATACTGACGTTTAATCCGAATCTGTTTTGATAATTAGGCCTGTTGGTCTAGGACTAGTTCACAAAAAATATTATTATTTTAAAATATTCTCCAATATTTAATGAAAGATTTTAATAGTAGTGATTGCCACTTGAGGCAAATTTGTATAAATATCAATAACGTGTTTGTGCGTGATCGAAAGAGAGTTAGAAAAACAATTAAGGATCGTAACATGTTAAGCCTGTAGCCTATAAATAGACCTAATAATAAGCACAAAATGTTCTCTGATCAATTTAAAATATAGGCAAAACACATCGCGCTGCTGCTGCTTTGTTTATAATGTTTTTGTTGGCTAGAACACGTTATGATTAAATCGTATTTTAAAATATCTCTGGGGAATTGACTGAAGTGTAAAGAAGAATGTCCTCGCTACACCTGACCAGGTAAAACCAGCAGGTGTGAATCAGATACAGACGCGCGCAGATTTCGGCCCCGCCCCCTTCTGCCCGTGCGCCGCCTGCGATTGGTGCACACCTGTGCGCGAGCACAAACACAGAAACACACACCGGGGCGAGGTAGGAGAGTCGCGAGAGACATGAACGCGCGCCGCAAAGCACGCAGGGTCGAGCAGGACTTCTGAAGCCTCAGGATGGTGAGGTCACAATGGGCAACCGCTGATCATCATTTATTGTCTTGTTATTAATGTTGCTGTCATTTTCTTGCATTAGCATCGCAAACAGATCAAACTATCAGATAAGAGTCAGAGTGTCAGGCCGCGGTCAGACAGAGCTTTGTATCTCGCTTCTGTAGAGCTGTTTGTCTGGGAGCTTTTGTTGTGTGTTACTGCACACACACACTGTTCTTTGGCTGATAAGGGGGACATTTGTATTTCCTTTTTTTGTACCAAGAAGACAAAGGTGCATTTGTTGCCTTTATCTCTCTTTTCTTGGTTTGCAGTTGAATGTTTAAATTGCTCACCACCACCTAGAGAAATTCATGTGTGTGTGTGTAAACTATAGGCTACTTCTATTAATTTTTAGGTCGTCATTAAAGGTGAAATGAATCACATAGTGTATTTTTATTCTGAAAATCAGTTTTATTTATGGTATATAGAGTAATAATTTTCATTGCATGCATGTGGCATTAGTGTACAGTGCAGCGAATAAACTTTATCGGTCCAGTTTCCTGAGACTCAAACCCATGACCTTGGCACTGTGTATTAGTGTCGTGCTCAACCTTCATTTTGACGTGCTTATTATTTATCAACATCAAGTTTTTAGTTTATAAATAAATATTGTTTATTACATTATCAATAGCGCTATCAAATAAGGTACACGTTTGTAAATATTTTTGTGTGTGTCTGCATATGTTACTTTAATGTTAGATGTGATTAATTGCAATTAATTGATTTGACAGCACCAATTATCATTTATTGTAAATTATAAATGAAATTAACTGGTCACCATTTCAGTTTTTCATACTTTTTAATAACCTTTTTTGCCTTTTCAGATGGTCCTGCTGTGAAATATTTGATAATATAAATTTGAATGAAATAATTAATATAAAGACAATTACTAATAATTATTGTATAATTACAATTTCTTCCATGGCAAGAAATTGTAATGGTAATTTTTAAATTAATAAATACATAATAAAATAATGTATGTATATATATACACACACACACATTGTAATTATACAATAATTATTTGAAATTGTCTTTTTACTAATCATTTCATTCATTCTCATATATCATACTTAATTTTTTTCTGTTTCTGACCTGTCACAAATCTATGATAAAATATGTAATAATAATGATATCATATATATGATAATGATAAAAAAATATTACATTTTTTTTGGTCCCCTTGAGGAAAACATATACATTTAAATCTTACTATATTATTTTTTTTGAAAATGTAAAAATGCAGAAAGTTTTGTGTGATGGGTAGGTTTAGTGGTCGGGTTATTTTGTGTGTGTGATGGGTATGTTTAGGGGTGGGGTTAGTGTGTGTGTGTGTGTGTGTGTGTGTGTGTGATGGGTAGGTTTAGGGGTCGGTTTAGTGTCTGTGTGTGTGTGTGTGTGAGATGGGTAGGCTTAGGGGTGTGGTTAGTGAGTGTGTGTGTGTGATGGGTAGGTTTAGGGGTCGGGTTAGTGTGTGTGTGTGTGTGTGTGTGTGCGTGTGTGCGTGTGTGCGTGCGCGTGTGTGTTAACAGGGATGCAGGCTCTTGGCAACAGCCTTGAAATGTCAAACACAGATTCCCACTGGGGTCTCAGCGAGGAGTCTTACACTCATTGCTTTTCTATGCTGCCGGCAAGGTGTGTGTGTGTGTGTGTGTGTGTGTGTGTGTGTGTGTGTGTGTGTGTGTGTGTCAGCACACATTACCCTAATTATTACTCCTAGTAATACATTAACTGTGATAGTCCTGTGTTATTTGACATTCTGACAGAGCATGTGGTACTTTACCTATACACTCTAAAAAATGCTGGGTTGTTTTAACCCAATTTTGGGTCAAATATGGACAAACCCGAAATGTTGGGTTAAAAATGTAATGTAAAAATTTAACCCAACGGCTGGGTTAGTCCATATTTGACCCAAAGTTGGGTTAAAACAACCCAGCATTTTTTAGAGTGTACAATAGGTGTGTGTGTGTGTGTGTTTTGTCCCATATTCAGGTCAATACGTCACGTTGTAGTCTAACACATTTTCAAAAGCAGCTTAACAAAGCTTTCAGAATTCAGACATTTTCCCGGAGACATGAATGTGTGTGTTGTCTGTAGATGCGCTTTCTGCTGCTGTTCAGCCGTCAGGGGAAGCTCCGACTGCAGAAATGGTTCACGGCTCTCAGCGATCGGGACAAGAAGAAGATCATACGTGACGTCACACAAATGGTGCTGGCTCGACCCCCGAAGGCCTGCAACTTCCTGCAGTGGAGGGATCTGAAGATCGTCTACAGGAGGTCAGAGGTCACCTTCTTATCTCATGTTCTTTCTTCGTCATTACAATGCTTTCTGTAACTTTCCAACTCGGTCTCTCTCTCTCTCACTCTCTCTCACCTTTGAGCCCAGTTAATGATCAGCCATTGAGCCTTAAAGCGCCGCGCTGCGTTTACAGGCAAATAGAGTTTTTGGTCAAACAGGTCTTTGCACATGACTAAGGTTTAGTATTTCTGCTATACTAATATGAAACATCCAGCACATGATGCATGAGTGTCGTTTCAGTTCTGCTGTCTATACTTTTGCATATAAAAGTAGACACTGAACAATAAAGGTTACATATCCGAGTATATCCGTATATATATCCGATTGAAACAGCTTCTCAAACTAGGAAATTGGAAAGGCGGGGCTTGATTTTGCCCTTGAGGAATTGATTAGATGTTGTGGTTTGCAATTGGTCAAGCTCGTTTGAGTGACAGGTTGCCCCGCCCTCGCGCCAATAAACATCAGAGACGATAAGTCACTGCAAAGGAGAAGTAATTTTGGTTAAATATTACGAGACACATGAATAAAAAATAATAATGACGGCACACATACAGGTGAAACTCAAAAAATTCGAATATTGTGCAATCGTTCAGTTATTTAACTTAAAAGGTGAAACTAATATATTATATTGACTCGATACATGCCAATGAGATATTTCAAGCCTTTATTTGTTATCATTTTGATGATTATGGATTACAGCTTACAAAAACCTTGAATTTGGGGTTTTCATAAGCTGTGCGCCATAATCATGAAAATTATAACAAATAAAGGCTTGGAATATCTCATTTGCATGTAATGAGTCAATATAATATATTAGTTTCACCTGTTAAAGGGTTAGTTCACCCAAAAATGAAAATTAAGTCATTAATTACTCACCCCCATGCTGTACCAACCCCGTAAGACCTTCGTTCGTCTTCGGAACACAAATGAAGATATTTTTGATTAAATTTGAGAGCTGTATAACTACCACATTGGCTCCTAAGGGACTGCCTCTTGACGGCCCAGAAAGTCAATGAAGAAAATGTTTAAATATCCCAAGTGACTACCGTGGCTCAACTATATGTTTATCAAGCGACGAGAATACTTTTTGTGCGAAAAAACAAACAAAAATAACGAGTTTATTCGACTATTTCTTTTCTTTTCGACGCATGCGCGAGAATTGCGATCTGCTTACACCAGCTTACACTACTTCAGATCGCAATTCTCGCGCATGCGTCGTGGAAATCTAAGGAAGTCTCGTTTCTGGCCTACAAGGAAGAAAAGAAATAGTCGAATAAACTCGTTATTTTTGTTTGTTTTTTAGCACAAAAAGTATTCGCGTCGCTTGATAAACATATAGTTGAGCCACGGAAGTCACTTGGGATATTTAAACATTTTCTTCATTGACTTTCTGGGCCGTCAAGAGGCAGTCCCTTAGGAGCCAATGTGGTAGTTATACAGCTCTCAAATTTAATCAAAAATATCTTCATTTGTGTTCCGAAGACGAACGAAGGTCTTACGGGGTTGGTACAGCATGGGGGTGAGTAATTAATGACTTAATTTTCATTTTTGGGTGAACTAACCCTTTAAGATAAAAGTACCACGGGGAAAATGTGTATTTTTAAGAAAGTACTGACGAACCAGCCTATGATTGTGTGTTGTTGTGTGTAAAAACATTGCAGTCACCTTTGTGAAACCCAATGACCTTGCAGTCAGCTTGTGCGAGCTTCTCTTGACCTCTGACCTCTGACCTGCAGGTATGCGAGCCTGTATTTCTGCTGTGGTTTGGAAGAGGAGGACAACGAGCTGCTCACACTGGAGCTTCTGCACAGATACGTCGAGCTGCTGGATCAGTACTTTGGCAATGTAAGGTTTGGGTCATGTTGATGTGTTTTCTGAATCTCGAATTGAGGTTTTTGGTGAATGTATGTGTGTTTGTGTGTTGCAGGTGTGTGAATTAGACATCATTTTTAACTTTGAAAAGGCTTACTTTATCCTGGATGAGTTTGTCATCGGTGGAGAGGTGCAGGAAACATCTAAAGCGTCTGTGGCCAAATCAATGGAGGAGGCAGATTCTCTTCAGGAGGTGACTCACACACACGCACACACACACACACACACACACACACACACTTTTTGATGAGATTCATCACATTTTCACAGATGTTGTTACACAAGCTGATCTTGTCTGCTTAACCGAATAAGTTATTACAGATGAGTATCATAACATCATGAATGAATTCATGAATTCTTACAATTGATAAGTAAGAGACATTGTTTTTTTGTGTTTATTTTTGACAGACAATGGAGGAGTATTTAAACAAACCGACATACTGAAGGATCTTCAGATAATCACAGCCATCACCTCAGTCTACACACACAATAGCAAGAACTTCATATGCTGAATGTGTTTAATTAAGCTGCCATTACGACACTGAAACAGAAACACTTTGCCTTACTCAGACTTTTGAGATAGTGAGAATACTATTATTAAATGATAGGATTTATTATGAAATTCGGCACACTGTTTTTGGCTGTAGACAATCAGAAAGGGAGAGACACTCATGTACATTAGCGCTCAAAATGTTGGGGTCAGTAAGATTTTTTAAAAGTAATTAATACTTTTATTCAGCAAGGATGCATTAAATTGATCTAACATTACATTTATAATGTTACAAAAGATTTCTGTTTTAAATAAATGCTGTTCTATTGAACTTTCTATGCATCAAAGAATCCTAAAAATGTCATAAATCATCATATTAGAATGATTTCTGATGGATCATGTGACACTAAAGACTGGAGTAATGAAGCTGGAAATACTGTACAGCTTTGAGACACCGGAATGAAAAACATTTTTAAATATATTCAATCAGAAAACTGTTTTTAAGTTTTACAACATTTGTTGTAATAATATTACAGTTTTACTGTATTTTTGACAAAATAAACGCAGCCTTGGTGAGCATAAGAGTCTTTAAAAACATTAGAAAATCTGAACTGACCCCATATTGACTACACTGTGAAATGAACCCTCAGGTTTCTTCTTATTTTGAGGTAAATTCAATTTTTTATTTTTCTCTGTGGGCTGACAATCAGTCAATAACCTTCAGACAGTTCTTAGATTATCTTGTTTTGAACTGAATGATTTTTTTATTATGCTTAATCTAAAAAAAGAAGTTACGCATGGACTACCCAAGCTTTGATAATACATATTAAAAGTCTTTTTTAAAGTAAATGTGTGTTTTTTTGTTTGTTTGTTTTTTAAACTTATATGCTAAATTGGTAGGGGTACCGGTGAGGAAATTTGCACAAGTCCCGCCCCTCCGCTTCCGGCTCATGGGACCTTATTTCGGAAAAAATATGAATGGTAGTCAGTGGCGAGAGACAACTCATCTTTTTATTTCGTCTACTCTGAACTGTGCCCTCAATTACACATATGTTGTTTGTCAATTTAAAAGATAATTCTGAAAGTCAAAAACGTCACAGTTTGTCATAAAACAGAAGAGTAACATGTAGTTTTATGTGAAAATCGCTCGATGAACTACATCTCCCGGGAAGCGAAACAACGAGTGAGATCCGCTGCTCGTGTGTGTGCGGTCTGGTACAAAACACTCAGGTATGACGGCGTAACGTTACGATTATAACGTAAGCAATGACAGACATTAGCCTCAGTAAAGTTAGCTTCCTTCATTGAGAGAAAATGCTTCATGAGAGAAAATGTGCGCCTTTTGGGGTTTGTAGTCTGTAATTACGTATTTTCACAGTCTTATACCTCAACGGTTTTACATCAAACTGCGACTTTCTTTACTTTAAAATGTACAAATTGACAAACATCATATGTGTAATTCAGGGCACAATTCAAACGAGATCAAAGTATTTGTTGTGTCTCGCCATTGACCACCATACAATATTTAGGTCCCATGGTGGTCGACCGGAAGGGGGGGGGGGGACTTAGGCTCTCTATTGAAACTTACTGCCACAATATCGATAAATCACTTTTAAATTCTCGCTCGAATTCGCGATCACGGTTCAGGCCACATTTTACAAGAGACTGTTTGTCAACGACGCTCTTCCGGTCGTCACGTGATGAAATCTGACACCTGCTGCGACTCTTGTGCTTGGCTTCGAATCCTCCCGAGATGTTCATGTTTACAACAGTTACAGTCACTTTCGTCGGATTAAGATGGCGGTGTACCTCCTCCCAATTGACTAAACAAAACTTCATTCTTCACTTCAAGGTTTGTAAATCTATTCTTCTAGTAAATGGGCAACAAATAATGTGCTATAGGTGTGTTTTCTTTTTATGTTTTAAATTAATTTATGAAGCAACGGTCTACTTTGTTGTTAGCCTAGTATTGTTATATTGCATTGCAGTTGGCATAGATCCATCCTCGACTAACAACTAGAGTAAATGAATACTCGTATTAATGACATTGTGGTGGCGCTCATGTTCAATATTTGTCCAATTTGTTCATTTCTATAAAATGGTTGCATATGCTAAAATAACCTCTAAATTAGTTTTGATTTAAAACAATATTAACAATGATTTCATATCATGCAAAGGTTGCCAATGTTGATCGGCAGTGAGAGACACATTACACAAACAGAGGACCATAGTGTGAACAAAATGCTTTATTTACCTCTGCCACATCACACATGACCTCATCACACACACAAGATACTGACTGAAAAAAAAAAACATAGCTGGCGTCTTTAAGAGGGAGGAAATCTGAGTGTGTGTTCATATGTTGAAGAGGTAAAGTCGGTGACCTTTTACAATGTTCATATCACTAACTAAGAAAGAAGTTGATCAGGTTTACTAAAATACTCTTTATTTTGCGCTATACAGAAGACAAATGAGAAAAGCTGGAGCACTACATTGACTAAACGCAGTTAGGGAATATATTTATTTCAAAATACTTTATTATATGCCAAGTCGAACAATGAATATAATGGTTATCTACATTTCAGGGACTGTTTTTTCCTCAGAGTCTGTTTCGTCGGTGTTGTCGCTCTCTGGTTCCAGTAACCTCAGGATTTTCATCATTGTGTTGTTATCTAATCCGATGTCTGCGTTCTCGTGCTCCACCGTTCTTTTTTCCGGCGCGCCTTTATCGAAGTAGTCCTGGACTGCACGCTCCAGATTTCCATACCGGGGTTGATCCACGTTGCGCAATGGCGTTGGACGTGCACGTCTCTGTCCCTGTGCGAGCATTTCAGATGCCAGGTAACTAGCCAATTCGTCTTCCTCGCCAGCGGTGTTGTCGTAATCATCCTTGCTGGTTTCCCTCTCGTAATAACGTGGCGCGTTGGGTTGCGTTGGTCGTTTGTTGTTTTGCTGTGCTGCATTAACCAACTCAAGGATGCTCAGGATGTCCTGGGCGACTCCGTTCCTCTCCGATGTCTCGAGTGGCGAAACTCGACGAGGTGCTGTGGAGAAAGTCTTGTGTGTGTTGTGAGTGGTGGCGTAGCCGTAGGGTGTACGTGACTGTCCCAATAAATTCTTCTGCCTTTCGTTTTGAAGAAGGTCAAGGACTTCCTTTGGTGGGATCCGAAGCTGCTGTGAGAGTTTGATTATCTGGGACAAAGATTCGGGGAATGTGTTGCGCATCGGCTTAATTTCCCTCTCCTCCTCCTCCTCCACCTCATCTTCATCTTCATCCACATCTTTTCTCTCCATCTCTCGGTTGGTTTCTTGCTCGCTCCTGCTGGCCTCTTGTCTTTTCTGCTGCTCCTGCTCTTTCTTTTCAAGGACTTGGAGAAGATAGTAGTCCATAAGCTTTGCAATGTCCTCAGGGTCCTCCTCTTTTCCTGTCCTTTTCCAGCTGGATTGGTTCGATCTTTTGACCTCATCTTCGTCTTCCTCCTGGTCATCATCGTCAAGGTCACGATTAAAACCATGCCTCTCTCTTTCTTCTTCTTCAGTCTCTATTTGCTCCTCCAGAGGTTCCCATTCGTCTGTTCCCATGATGTCCTCCAAGGCCATCTTCCTCTGCCTGTACAAGTCATTATCATCATTATCATCATCCTCCTCCTCATCATCTTCACCATCATCTCGTTTGTTGTTGAGCTTAGATGTGGAGATCCCACTCAGTTCCTCAAACACAGACTGAAGGGTCGCCAGTTTCTGGGGTGTGTACTGTTCTTCCGCATTCTCATTTGTCCGTTTGAGCGGCTGTTCCTGATCCTCCGGATCCTCAAACATAATTGGATACTGCCTGTGTTGTCTCCGGCTATCTTGATTGGCCCATGAGGTCCTCCCGTAGTTCTCAGCTGGCGTTTCAACCTCTAGTTGTGGTTTTGGCCTTGGAAAGGGGTGGATGGTGTATTGAGGTTGGGTTGCAATGACCTTCTTGGGCACCTTGTGTTCCTCAGTTTGTTGTAGTGTCTTAAGCACAGCTTGAAGCAACTCTTGAGTGTTGTCTCTTTCTTCCTCTCTCTCCTCCATGCCTCTATCCATCCGGCCTGGCGCTGCCAGTTGTAGCATGGATCGGATGCTCTCCATGTCGTCCTCTTCTTCATCTGGTTGACGCTCGTCTGTAAGGGGATCAGGTGAGAGGGATCTCTGGCTGAGGCTTTGGATGTATCGGAGAGCTCTGAGCATCTCAGCACTCGGAGGAGGGCGGATCTGGGACGCAGGTCCATAAGAGACGGGTTCACTTCCACTGAGGCGATGCTCTCTTAGTGTGGCCCCTTGAACTTCAAAAACGAGAGAGAGGAAAAGAGGCAGGAGGAGGAGTGAGGGGAGGACGAACACCCCTGTTGCACAGCATCTAGATGATGACGACATGTTTTACCTGAGAGCGGGAGGGAGTGAAAAGATGAGAGATGGTGAGTCAGACAGTTTTTCCATTAAAAAAAGATAAATGCTTTCCCTAGGGTAGAACCCTTTTCAAAAGGCACTAAAACGTACAATTTACGTACTAATATGTACCTTTAAGGTAATCATGCACTCTTTAGTGGTAAATAAGGTACAAAGGGTGTATCTTTCGAAATGATACCACACCAGATACTTATTTTGTTTTGTTCTGCGAGTATCAGCACATGCACAGAAATGGATCAGTCATCATCCAACTTCATGTCATTCCAAACCTGTGTGTCGGTGTCAATACAATGAAAGTCAATGTTTTTCAGTGTACAGACTAAATCAGTTAATTTGTGTTTCACAGAGAAAAGACAGAAAGTCATACAGGGGTGCGTTTCCCGAAAGCATCGTTAGCCAACTATGGTCTCAAGTTCAGTCGTTAGTTACCAATATAGAGTTCAATGGAAATTGCGACCAGCTTGCGACCATAGTTGGCTAACGATGCTTTCGGGAAACGCACCCCAGGTTTGGAAAGACATGAGGGTGAGTAAATGATGACAGAATGTAATTTTGATGAGCTATTCCTTTATCTTGTTACAAAGATCTACCATTGATGAGTTATTGCAGTCTTGTTTACACTGTTAAATTGACCATCAAGGTCTCCACTCGTAGGTCTCGCTCTCTCTCTCTCTCTCTCTCTCTCTCTCTCTCTCTCTCTCTCTCTCTCTCTCTCTCTCTCTCTCTCTCTCTCTCTCTCTCTCTCTTGTGTATCTGTTGAAAGCCTGTTGATGAGTGTTTGCGGAGCACTCGAGAGAGTGCGCGTGCAGCTTGCGCTGAAAATCTCATTAGTTTCTAAAT